CAACCACCATTCTACCTTGTTTCTGCGAATTTTACTACTCTAGGTACCTTACTGAAGTAGAATCATACAATATTTGTCCTTTAGTAACTGACTTGTTTCACTTACCATAGTGTCTTCAAGGTTCATTCATGTTGTAGCATGTGTCAAAATTTGCTTCCTCTTTTTTTTTCTATTTTATATATACTAGTGTGTATCTGTGAATCCCACACTCCTAATGTATCCCTCACCCATCCCTTCCCCTTTGGTAACCATAAGATTGTTTTCTTTTTTTTTTTTGGCTTCGTTGGGTGTTCATTGCCACAAGCACTTTCCTTAGTTGTGGCGAACGGGGGCTGCTCATCGTTGCCGTGTGGGGGCTTCTCATTTTGGTGGCTTCTCGTTGCAGAACATGGGCTCCAGGCATGCGGGCTTCAGTAGTTGTGGCGCACAGGCTTGGTTGCTCTGCGGCATGTGGCATCCTCCCGGACCAGGGGTCGAACCCGTGTCCCCTGCATTGGCAGGTGGATTCTTAACCACTGCGCCACCAGGAAAGCCCCGTAAGATTGTTTTCTATGTCTGTGAGTCTGTCTCTGTTTTGTAAATAAATTCATTTGTATCATTTTTTTAGATTCCATAAATAAGTGATATCATATATTTGTCTTTCTCTGTCTGACTTCACTTAGTGTGATAACGTCTACGTCCATCTATGTTGCTGCAAATGACATTATTTCATTCCTTTTTGTGGCTGAGTAATATTCCTTTGTATATACATATACCACATCTTCTTTATCCATTCTTCTGTTGATGGACACATAGGTTGCTTCCATATCTTGGCTGTTGTGAATAGTGCTGCAGTGAGCACTGGGGTGCATACATCTTTTTGAATTAGAGTTTTCATCTTTTCTAGATATATGCCCAAGAGTGGGATTGCTAGATCATATGATGACGCTATTTTTAGTTTTTTGAGGAACCTCCATACTGTTTTCCATAGTGGCTGCACCAATTTACATTCCTACCAACAGTGTAGGAGGGTTCCCCTTTCTCCACACCCTCTCCAACATTTATTGTTTGTAGACTTTTTTTTTTTTTGCGGTACGCGGGCCTCTCACTGTTGTGGCCTCTCCCGTTGTGGAGCACAGGCTCCGGACGCTCAGGCCCAGCGGCCATGGCTCACGGGCTCAGCCGCTCCGCGGCATGTGGGATCCTCCTGGACCGGGGCACGAACCCATGTCCCCTGCATCGGCAGGCGGGCTCTCAACCACTGTGCCACCAGGGAAGCCCCCTACTTTTTTTTAATATATAAATTTATTTATTTATTTACTTTTGGCTGCATTGGGTCTTCATTGCTGTGTGCAGGCTTTCTCTAGTTGCAGCGAGTGGAGCCTACTTTTTGTGGTGCACGGGCTTCTCATTGGGGTGGCTTCTCTTGTTGTGGATTGTGGACTCTAGGCGTGTGGGCTTCAGTAGGTGTGGCACGCGGGCTCAGTAGTTGTGGCCCATGGGGTCTAGAGAGCTGGCTCAGTAGTTGTGGCACACAGGCTTAGTTGCTCCGCCGCATGTGGGATCTTCCCAGACCAGGGCTCAAACCCGTGTCCCCTGCATTGGCAGGTGGATTCTTAACACTGCCACCAGGGGAGTCCCTTCTGCCCATTTTTTTATTGGGTTATTTGTTTTTTTGATATTGAGTTGTATGAGCTGTTTATATACAACTTCCTTTTTAAGACTAAATAATACTTCTTTTGTATGTACAGTCATCCCTTGGTGTCCACAGTAGATTGGTACTAGAGCCTTCCAGGGATACCAAAATTTGGTTATGCTCAAATCCCTTAAATAAAATGGTGTAGTATTTGCATGTAACCTACGCATATTCTTCCATATCCTTTAAATCATCTATAGATTACCTATAATACCTAATACATTGTAAATGCTATGCAAATAGTTGCCAGTGCATGGCAAATTCTAGTTTTAGTTTTTTATGAACTTTCTGGAATTTTTTTTTCAAATATTTTTGATCCGAGGTTGATTGAATCCACAGATTCAGAACCTATAGATATGGAAGGCCAACTGTATATACCATGTTTTGTTTATCCATTCATCTGTTGTTGGACACTTGGGTTGCTTCTACCTTTTGGCTGTTGTGAATAGTGCTGCTGTGAACATGGGTGTACAAATATCTGTTGGAGTCTCTGCTTTTAGTTCTTTGGAAGTATACCCAGAAGTGGAATTACTGGATAATATGGTAATTATATGTTTTATTTTTTGAGGTTGCTGCATCGTTGTACATTCCCACCATCAATGCACAAGGGTTCCAGTTTCTCCACATCCTTGCCAACACTTGTTATTGTCTGTGAATGTTTGTGTTTTACAGAACCTTATGGGTTTGAAGTGGTATCTCATTGATTTGCATTTTCCTAATGATTAGTGGTGTTGAACCTCTTTTCATGTGCTTGTTGGCTATTTGTATATCTTCTTTGGAGAAATAGCCTTTGCTCATTTATTTATTTTCGTCGTTGTAGAGTTGTAGGAATTCTTTACATATTTCGAGTGTCAATCCCTTATCAGATGTACCATTTGCAAATATTTCCTCCAATAGGTTGTCTTTTCACTGTGCTGATAGTGTCCTTTTACACACAAAAGTTTTTGATTTTGTTGTAGACCAATGTATTATTTTTTTTCTTACGTGTGCTTTTGGTGTCACATCCAAGAAATTGTTGCCAAACCCAATGTCGTGAAGCTTTCTCCCTGTGTTTTCCCCCAAGAGTTTTGTAGTTTTAGCTCTTGCATTTAGGTCTGTGATCCATTTTGATTTCATTTTTATTTATTATATAAGATAAAGGTTCAACTTTATTCTTTTGTATATGGTTATGTTTGGATATTTCATAGTGAATTTTTGTTAGTTTATATAGGTTTATAATGGTATTATGATTATGTTAAGGAATTTTTATCTAGCGTTACAGGGATTTGCTCAGAATGACATGGTGGAGGAGGATAAGTGAGTGAGTCCACAGGTGAAACAGGATTTTGTAATATGTTTGAAAATTTCCAAAATAAAAAGTTAAAAGAAGAGTTGGGGACTTCCCTGGCGGCACAGTGGATAAGCTTCCACCTGCTAATGCAGGGGCCACAAGTTCGACGCCTGGTCCAGGAGATCCCACATGCCGCAGAGCAACTAAGCCTATGCTCCACAACTACTGAGCCTACACACTCTAGAGCCCGCGTGCCATAACTACTGATCCCGCGCTCCACGACTACTGAAGCCTGTGCGCCTAGAGCCCATGCTCCGCAGCAAGAGAAGCCACCGCAAGCAAAAGCCCATACACCACAACGAAGAGAAGTCCCTGTTTACCACAACTAGAGAAAGCCCGCGCAGCAACTGAAGACCCAATGCAGCCAAAAATAAATAAAATGAAAAAAAAAAAAAGAGTTGGTAGACCAGGAGAATGGTGTTTAGAAACCCAGACACAAAATTTCTGTAAATAGTCAGTGGATAACTTTGTTCGATGGTATAGCGAGGTCAACCAGAGTAAAGACAAAACATGCCATTGATTTCAGCAGCTGCTTCCATGACATTAGATACGGCAGTTTTAGAAGTGTTTGGACTAAAACCTGATAGCAAAATTTTGAGAAATGCTTGGAAGATAGGAACATGGAGAAAGCAATGTGTGTTCACTCTTGATAGGAAGAAAAGCTATTTCTATTAAGTCTAAAAGATTATAAATCTATGAATTAAAAAATGCAAAAGAAAAGTATGAAGTCAAAATTCAAAGGCCCTGTCCCTTTTTCTTCCGTTTCTTCTCGCTCACCCCCTCGTTTCAGTCTGTAGTTTACTCTTGAGACTTGTGGCTACAGAATGAATGGCACCCTGGGCAGGAGAGAGGTTTTGGAGAGGGAGACTCAAACATGCCTTTGCCTGAGAAGAGCTAGTGGAAGGAAAGAAAAAATGAAGATAGAACTGGGGAGGACTAGTGGAATAATGCCCAGAGAAGATAAAGGAAAGGAGGGACTCAGTGGCCAAGTTGGAGAAAAGAACAGAGGCACTCATCTCTTTGAGTCAACAGGAAAGGAAATGACCTCACTTTTCTCTCTCAAGTCGTAGACTGAGTTCCCTGCTGAGAGTGATTGAAGTTTGGACAGGGTTGATGGCATCTCTTGGTGTAACCAGTAACCGCAAGAATGAGTAAAAGAATGGCAGCGTTGAGGACCCAGCTCAGGCCCAACTATGTTCGAAATGACTTTTTCATTGAGGAATGCCATCGTACAGGGGGACTTGCCATCCCATTGATTTCCAGGGATGACTCAGTTCACTGGCTGGTGGACTAAGGGAGATGTTTCTTCCTTGTCCTCTCTGTGTGTAAGTTTACTAAACTAGGCATTTACACTTAAAAGCAATCAAGTAGGACTGCTCTTCAGTCCAGAGTACTTTAGTAGCTATGCTTGTTTTCTGTGAGCCTCTTAAGCAGGCTCTCTGGTGAAGGAGAAATTTGACAAAATGATTAAATAGAGACCTCCTCTGATCATATTGTGGTGATGAAACCACTTTCACTTCCTCTTTTGAAGAAACAGGTAACAGAAAACTTACCCCTGGCCATTAATCATGTTGCAGTGACAATCAAAAAAAAGAAAGAAAGAAAAAGAAATCCAGACACAGAGTTTCTATAAATAGTCAGTGGATAGCTTTGTTATAACTTTTTTTGCACTGACAGTCTAAAATGTGGTCAGGGTAGATTCTGTTTGCTATATTTTGAATGTAAACATCATCAAGAATTAAATGGTTGTATACATTTAAAGTTTGGTATCTGTGAACCTCATGTAATATTTTGTAGAAATAGGAGTGGGAGTTATGTTACCTACTTCAGAGAATAGAATTGTCTAAATAAATATCTCAAGTTTAGTCCTTGTCAAATATTTTCTGTAAGTATGAAATTGTTTTTCCTCAAGATTTTATGTAGTAGAAATTGTTTACTGGTCATATGTAGAGGATTTTAAAAGTGAGCTTTACGTTTCCTTTTTATATTTTTTAGGAGACCCGTGTACAGTATCGTCTCAGTTGGAGTTAGAAGAAGCCTTTAGGCTTTATGAGCTAAACAAGGATTCTGAACTCTTGATTCATGGTAAAGGAATAGTCATTTCCTACTCTTCTAGAACTATACTTCTTTAAAAACATAACCCTGTATCCTTAACCATTTAAAAACATGGTCCTGATGTCATTTTCTTAATCTGTATCCCTCCTTTCTATGTAATTGTCCTTGTTCAGTAGTATCTCAAATGCTAGAGAAGACAAAATCGATCAGCTTCTTATAATCTTAGGAAATTTCTTATTTGTGTATACCTTCTTGGGTATTAAACTGTGATCATCTCAGTGTTTTACAGCAAAGTTTTAGCATAGAATTTAAGAATTGAGAGCCCAGTAGAACCTAAGTCATCCCCTTGCAGTTTTGTAATGTATGCAAATGATGGTTTCCAAAGGTAAGATATCTTAAATGCCCTTTCTTTTGTTTAAGGGTTAACTGTGAAACTATTTATGTAGTAATCATAGACATTAGTGTGTTAAAGGTCAGCAAGCCTGAGAGGTGGGTAGTTGTATAGAAGGAGAGACCTAAACTCAACCATCATGTAACTGGTACATTGTAAACCTGGGTTGTAAATCTAGGTATTCTCTTTCCAAATCTGTGTTCTTTTCATTCTGCCATGCTACCCCTCAAAGTTTTTAGGTCATGTAGAATCCACTTAATATGCTTAATATAATTGCAATACATTGGCAGTATTTCACATAGCATTTTTGGGAGTCTTAGGAGACTAGACCTAGGGAACTCTTTACAACTTGAAACAAATATAAATCTCCCCTCAATATAATGACTTATTTCAATATCTTGTTATTATTCCTTTGTACTTTCCTTTACAGTGTGATTTTTTTTTAAAAAAATAGCTTGATTTTTGTCTCCCTTCAGAATTTGACATAGTGACTCCCATGGGATTCATACTCTAATTTGTTGCGATCCTGGAAGAATGTTAGAAGTCTTCCTTTGGTCATCTCTGTCTAGAATAAAGCTACAGTGAATGTTTAAAGAAATTATTTGTTTTAAGCTTTATTGCTTTTTATGCTATATCAGAGATCTGTTTTCAGAAGTTAGCTTATATTTCAACTTTTAAAAATATTCCAGGAACTGTGTTTCCCATACTCTGTGCTCAAAACCATGTCCTTTTTTGTACATCACAGACTACAAAGAGTTGACTAGATGTTTATAAATGTACGATTTCATTATATTCTATCTCTTTATAAAAATGTTTTGAATTAGCATTTTTATAAATCTGTAGCTCCTAAGGCAAAACTTACATTTTTGGATTTGGATACTGTTTTTAATGTTAATTTGTTCCTAAGTTTAGAAAAACTGTAGTGGCTTATGTTTATATTTGTATACACTTTGTAATTTTAATTCTTCATCCTAGCAAATTTGTCACTACAATGAGGATTTAAGGAAATAGTTAATGATTTCTCTAATGACCAAAAAAAAAAAATCAATTAGTGATGTAATAGGGATTGGAATGAGTAATTTGAGCTTCTAATGCATTGTTTATGGATGTTCGCTTTCATAAGAATTTCTTTTATTATAGCCTTGGTAAAATGTGTCCCTTCAAAAAATAGTACTGACCATATGTTAAGTATCTTGTGTCAAGAGAAGGTCAGGTTTAAATTTAGATCAATTTATGTGATATTTGAATTTAAAATTCTGTGTAATTTGTATGTTTTAAATATGCTGTATTAATTTTAGTTTGTTGTTTTTCAGTATTCCCTTGTGTACCAGAACGTCCTGGAATGCCTTGTCCAGGAGAAGATAGTGAGTGTTTATATACTTCATACCTTTGAATAGAGTTATTTATGATACAGTGGCACAAGAGAAATCAGAAATAGAACTTTTAATTCATTTGATTTCTTTTCCATTCTTCAGTCTAATTTAGAGTATATTAGTAAACTGCCTAAAGTCTCTACTTTTCCCAAATCGAAATGAGGCAGTTTTTTTTTTTAATTAAAAAAAACATATATTTATTTATTTGGTTGTGCTGGGTCTTAGTTGCAGCAGGCAGGCTCCTTAGTTGCATCTCACGGGCTACTTAGTTGTGGCCTGCAAACTCTTAGTTGCGGCATGCATGAGCGATCTGGTTCCCTGACCAGGGATTGAACCCGAGTCCCCTGCATCGGGAATGCAGAGTCTTAACCACTGTGCCACCAGGGAAGTCCCAAAATGAGGCAGTTTTTAATTACAACTTACTGACATAATTGTCTATTGTGCATTTGAAAGGAAAATTAAGTTGATTTTAAGTCCTTTCCTGTTTTTTTTTTAAATTAATTAATTTATTTTTGGCTGCGTTGGGTCTTTGTTGCTGTGCTCAGGCTTTTCTCTAGTTGCAGCGAGCAGGGGCTACTCTTCGTTGCGGTGCGTGGGCTTCTCATTGCGGTGGCTTCTCTTGTTGCAGAACACGGGCTCTAGGCGCATGGGCTTCAGTAGTTGTGGCACGTGGACTCAGTAGTTGTGGCTCACGGGCTCTAGAGCACAGGCTCAGTAGTTGTGGTGCACGGGCTTTGTTGCTCCGTGGCATGTGGAATCTTCCTGGACCAGGGATCAAACCCATGTCCTCTGCATTGGCAGGCGGATTCTTAACCACTGTGCCACCAGGGAAGTCCCCATTTCCTGTTTTTTAATCTTGGAAAATTTCAAACCTATGGAGAAGTTGAAAAAACATAGAAACATTGAAAACAAAGATACCCATATATCTTTACCAAGATTTACCAATTATTAACATTTTCTATGTTTGCTTTATCTCTGTATCTGTGCACACACATGCATACACGTATATACATAACAAACACTTGTTTTATTATTTTTTTTATTTTTATTTTTTTTAAAGAAGATGTTGGGGGTAGGAGTTTCATAATTTATTTATTTATTTTTGCTGTGTTGTGTCTTCGTTTCTGTACGAGGGCTTTCTCTAGTTGTGGCAAGTGGGGGCCACTCTTCATCGCGGTGCGCGGGCCTCTCACTATCGCGGCCTCTCTTGTTGCAGAGCACAGGCTCCAGATGCGCAGGCTCAGTAGTTGTGGCTCATGGGCCTAGTTGCTCCGCGGCATGTGGGATCCTCCCAGACCAGGGCACGAACCCGTGTCCCCTGCATTAGCAGGCAGATTCTCAACCACTGCGCCACCAGGGAAGCCCTTGTTTTATTTTTATTTATTTTTTTGTGTACCCTTTGAGAGTAAGCTGACATGACACTTTACCTCTAAATACTTTAGCGTGCATCCTTAAGAATTGTTATGAAACTTTCTTTTGAATGTCTAAGCTAGTGGTTAGCATTAATGAGATGAATTGAAAGAGGCAACTATTTGGTCTGATGGAATATGTTTATATGTATATATTCATATATATATATATACATATGTGTATATGTATATATATTTGATATATACATATATATACCAAATTTGAATTTAATTTATGGTATAATTTATAGATTGTAGATATTAGGCAACTCATTTTTATTTGTGGTTTCTGTACATATCCATGACTTTAGAAGGAATAGTAGTAAATGTTTTGCTTTGTATTAAGTGAAATAGCTCTAAAGTTTTAATTCTGTAACTCTTCATGCAACTTGGTGAAAAGGAAAAATTAAAGAACTGGGTGTTTGTATATAGAGTTGAATGAGGGCTATGTACTTTATAGGAAGATGGGGAAATATAAGGAGTAGGTAGGCCTCTGAAGCAATAGTGAAAAATTTAGGTTTGGATTCAGCTAGGAGTATTTCATTGGGTTTCCAGTGGCAGATGGATTACAGCCAGTGTGGGCTGCCTTCACAGAGGTGTTGGAGAAGTAGCTCTCCTTTGTCCAGGCCAGTGTTTTGAAAGACTTGCCATTATAGCAAATCTTGGTTGCAGAGTCCCATCTGCAAATCTATTATGGGTCTGTAGCACACTTGCCAGATAAAATGTCTTTTCCTACCTTTTCACTGTATTTCATGCTCACTTTCCCACTTTAAAATTTGCTGGTGGGGATTTTTACACAGTCCTCTCCAGTATAATTAATATTACTAAACTAGAGCATGGAGGAAAATTGATAACCATTAAAGTGATCCCTTGGCTCTTTTAATTCCTAGGCAACATTAACATGTTTAAATTTAAGATATATCAAGTTGTAGTTCATGAAAGTTTCTGAAATAAGATGTTCTTTTAGGTTAAGATATTAACAAACTTTCTGCTTTGGTTACTCCTAACAGAATAAATAATTAAAAATGAAAGCATATATATTTTAGGTTCTATATTATGCTGTCTCAGAATTTCTAATTCAGAGTATTTCACCCATTTCTTTCTATCTTAATTTTAAATAGTAGACCCAGTGCTACATTTGCTTTAAAATGAGTTTTGAGGGAATTTGCTGGTGGTCCAGTGGTTAGGACTCCGCGCTTCCACTGCAGGGGGCATGGGTTCAATCCCTGGTCGGGAACTAAGATCCTGCAAGCCACGCGATTCAGCCAAAAAAATAAAATGAGTTTAGAAACCTAATGGAATTTCCACAGTGATTACTATTACTGTGGGATGACTAATAGACAATATATTTAATAGTGATTGACTTACCCAAAATTACACCAGTGGACTTGATTTGATCTCATGGAACCTCTTTGTTTAGGGAATGTATTTAGAATAGTTAAAGGTATAAAAAAATATAAAAACCATTGCATAAAAGGTTGTTGCGAAGAGAATATTCTTGTGGTTACAAAATGCCCCTTATACGTTATTTACAAAAACGTACCTTTACAAAGAAGAAAACTAGCCATCACTGCCTTTAACAGAGTGATTGAACACGTAGTGGGAGTCAACAATCTCACATTTGTACATTTCTTGATGAGATGCAGTAAGAAATATACATCACCTGTGTATTATTTTTGCCAAAAGTATTTAATACTTTTTATCTGGGAATCCTTTTTTTATCTGGGAAGTGTGTTACAAATCCATAATATATTTGAGTCTAATGAGGAAACAGACAAATCCAGAATGTAGGTCATGATATAAGACATCTGCCTAGACTCTTTCAACATCATGAAAAGCAAACAACAACAAATAAGATAGTGAATGTTTTAGCATACATTAAAGAGACAAAAAAGGTATAGTAATGAAATTCAGTGCCTGAATCTTGATTGGATCCTGGAGAGAAAAAGAAAACTATGAAAGACACTTTTCAAGCAAATAGGGAAATTAGCAGATGAAGTGTATATTAGGTGATATTTAATTAATGTTAATTTTCTAAGACACAATAATGGTATTGGGGTTAAATAGAATTAGGGGGAGTGTCCATAATCTCAGGCAATGGATACTTAGGTATTTAAGGATGAAGTGTTATGATGTCTGCAATTTATTTTTAAATGATTCAGAAAAAAAAGTGTATGTGTAAATAGAGAAGAAAGCAAATGTGGTAAAATTATAGTAATAGATAAATGTAGGTGAAGGATGGAGATGTTTATTCTTTCAACTTTTCTGTGGGCTTAACATTTTTTCAAAATTAAAAGTTAGGGGACAATTAAAAAACAGAGAAGCCTGGTCTCTTGATGACTTTTATTTTTTCACTTTCAGATTTTTATCAATATTTTTTTTCCTGCAATGAATATCATGAAAAAAATCACAGACGATTATAAAATGACTTTATATTCACACTTGCTCTTTTTGTTTCTTCCTTTTTTTTTTTTAACTTTTAATCTCTCTTCAGAATCCATCTACCGCCGAGGTGCACGCCGCTGGAGAAAGCTTTATTGTGCAAATGGCCACACTTTTCAAGCCAAGCGTTTCAACAGGGTAAACCTTAGTTTGCTGAATATTGATAATTTGAGAAATCTGGGTTTTTCCTCTCTACTGTTATTCCTTTCTAAAGGAGTAAGTAGGGTGACCTAAAATTCCCAGTTTGCCAGGGGTAGTACATCTGTTATCTTGAGGTAATTTTTAATAGCATCTCCTTTGACTCATAAAAATGTTCCAGCTTGGATGATTAGTTATATGGTTACCCTAGCTGTAAGAAAGTTGGATTTTTTTTTAATATAATTCAAGACAGCCAGAAAATAAGCAAGGTTTATTTTGCAAACCATTTACTGTTGTAAATATTTTTTAGTTTTCCCTGTTTTAGAAAATGAGAATTGCAGTCATTTATCTAGCTTTTAGTATGTACCAGGCACTTTTCTGAATGCTTGCCATATAGTGACTCATTTAATCCCTGCAACAACGTTGTGAGAGAGGTACTATATATTTCCATTTTATAGATGAAGAAACTGAGGTGCAGGATGGTTAGATAACTTGCCCAAGATGACACGGCTAGTAAGTGGCAGAGCCAAGGTTGGAGATCAGTCTGTCTCCAGAAGTCCATGTTTTTAACTACTGTTGTTAACTACAGTTATCCGTTTCCATTCTAGAACTCGCGCCGTGTTCTCAATTCTTAATGTAATAGAAGCTACCACCCAAGGTTCCCAAATTCCTGTTCCCAGTAGCACTGATATTTAAAAAGCTTTGAAGTGAGAAGTCACTTTAGGTGTTGCTCTTTAAGAGAGCAGTGGTGTGGCTTCCCTGGTGGCGCAGTGGTTGAGAGTCTGCCTGCCGATGCAGGGGACTGCGGGTTCGTATCCCGGTCCGTGAAGATCCCACATGCCGCGGAGCGGCTGGGCCCGTGAGTCATGGCCGCTGAGCCTGCGCGTCCGGAGCCTGTGCTCCGCAACGGGAGAGGCCACAACAGTGAGAGGCCCGTGTAACGCAAAAAAAAAAGAAAAAAATCCAAAAAAAAAAAGGGGAGAGCAGTGGTGACCTAAATGGGAAGGAAATCCAAAAAAGAGGGGAAGAATGTATATGCATAGCTGATTCATTTTGCTGTACAGTAGAAACTAACACAACATTGTAAAGCAACTATACTCCAATAAAAATTAATTTAAAAAAAAGAGAGCAGGGCTTCGGTTTGACCTCTGAACAGACTGATAGGTTTATGTTTGCTTGGGAGTCCTTGCACAGCTTTTTCTGCTATGTGTTTTTCAAGTTTAATTCACTTTTCCTATTGTCATTACTCTGAACTTAATTAGGTGAAGACTGAAAATTCGTGGACTTAGGAAACAACATGGTTGCAAATTTCAGTCTCTTTAAAACAAGCTCTCCTTTCTGTTTATTTTCCCATGACCATCATAGCTTTGGAAAAGTTATGTATGATGAAGGGAATTGAGTTAGAGAAGAAAGCCACTTACTTTCACTATTTTATGAGCAAACTGTTGGGAAATGATTATGACCTTTTTTTTGTTAATAAAATACTGTTGAATTACTTTCTCCAGCGTGCTCATTGTGCCATCTGCACTGACCGAATATGGGGGCTTGGACGTCAGGGATATAAGTGCATCAACTGCAAACTCCTGGTTCATAAGAAGTGCCACAAACTTGTAACAATTGAATGTGGGAGGCATTCTTTGCCACCGGTAAGACACTGTTGTCTAATTTTTTTTTATAGAGCATTTTTGATAACACTGCTAGAACAGAAGGCTAAAATAGGGGGGTGTTAAGGAATCACAGCTCAACAGTGTTGTTACAGAATGTGGGTAGGAATACTTTAGGAGTCCAGTTATCATGTGAATTTTGGAATTGTTATTACAAATTTGTTTGTAGGATATGGTTAACTGCTTTGTTTGACCTGCTACAAAATGATTTGGTCTAAATTAGGAAAATGTAAGGAGAACCATTTAAAAGATATTTTTCTCTTCTTTAAGCTAAACTCTTTAGTTTATAGCTCCCATTATTCTAGCATCTGTACTAAACAGATCAGGTGAGAAGAGTCAGAGTCTTCATGTTTGCTCTGTAAAGTGTGAGATTACTGGTGAGTTTTTGCATTTAAAATTTTTATTTTTCACTTTCTATTTTAAATATGAAATTAAAACAAGTTCATTATAGAAAAAATAGAGAATAAAAATGAATAAAGAAAAATTAAACAAAAACCCCCATGAAATCTACCATCTAAATGTAATTGTCATTTAGTGTATATTCTTCCAGAAGTATGCAAATTTATATGCATAGACATTTAAAATTTTTCTATAGAGTATGATGAACTTCCAAATACCAGTCATCCAGCTCCAACAGTTATCACCTCACGACCAATCTCGTTTCATCTATACCCCACCCATTTAACCTGCCCTCATCCTATATTGTTTTGAAACAAATCCCAGATGTATTTCAGTATGTACCTCTAAAAGATAAGGACTGTTTTTTAAAAGTAGCTAAAAAATAAGTTCCTTATATCAAATATCCATCAAGGCAATGTTCAAAATTTCAGTTGTCACATAAATGTTATAATTTTGTTTTCATAATTTTCATTGTGATGAGTCAGGATTTAAATCAAGTTCATATTTGCAATTGATTGACCATATTTACAGTTGATTGATATGTCTTAGATATTTTTTAATTTACTGATTCTTCATCTCTCTCTCTTTTTTCCCTTACAATTTCATTATAGAAGAAACTGTGTTGTCATTTAAAGTGATCCAGAATTTTCTCTTTGCTTCTCCATGGTTATGTTTAAAATGTTCCCCTGTCCTCTGTATTTTCTGTATATTATAGTTGAATGTAGAGGTTTGATTAGATTCTGGTTTTTGTTTTTTTGTGGGTTGTTTTGAGACTATTTCATAGAAGGTGGTGTGTTTATCCATCAGAAGGCATACAATGTTTGGTTATGTCTCGTTCTTTTACATACTTTTTAACAAAAGTGAGGTCATATTTGTACTATTTTCTAACCCATTTTTCTCACTGAACAATAGATTTTGGTCATCTTTCTATATCTATCTATATCTTCATCATTTTTAGCAAAGTATTTTATGTGTCTATACCGTAATTTATTTAATCTGTTCCCCATGATTGAACATTTGAGTTGTTTTCTAAATTTTCCTATGAGGAAAATCATAATGAACTTCCTGGTAAATAAATCTTATTATTTCCTTAAGGATTCAGAAGTAGAATTACTGGTTTAAAGGATATGTGTTTTTAAAAAGATCTGGGTTCGTCTAAGTTATCTTTTAGAATGATTGTACCATGTTTATTCGTAGTACCTTCTTTGGACATTGTGGAAGTAGGTTATTACTGGTGGCTTGTTGGTAGTAGAATCATTTAGCCAGTTCATGTAAGTTTACAAATGGGTTTATAGTTAGGGAGGTAAAAAGCCAATTTTAAGGAACAGCAGAAGGCCAAAAATTGTGAACATAATTTATCCAGGTTACTGTTGATATTCTTGAGTATTCTTAGGCAATGGAATGACTTGTGTGAGTTCATAAATGTAGAAGGAAGGAGGGCCGTGTTAGTGATTATATTGATATTTTAGGGTGGTGCTAAACACATTGAAAAACCCATGAGCTTATTTTTAAGGCAGCCTTAAAAGTATAACTTTATAACTAATGCTGCTTCTCAGATTTACTCTTTCTTGCGGGTATTCATTAAACTTTGGTCCAAAATTAACGAATAAGTAAGATTTTGGTTTGAATTAGCATTGTTCCTGAGGTTATTGGCAGTTTCTTGGAGGTATTTCTTTTCCATTTTTGGGTCACTGACCCCTTTGAGAATCTTCAGAAAAATGGGAAACCCATAAAATTTTACATATAATTTCAAGAAGTTTATAGACATCTTGAAGTCTATTTCTGGACATCAGCTAAGTACCTCTATACTAAGACTCCTTTTGCCAAAGACTTAAAGTGAGTATGTGGAACTCAAAGGAAGAATAGGTGGTATAGAGGAGAAATAAATCAGAGTATGTAGGAGTTCAATTTCATTTCTAATTGATAGTCTGAAATTCGTTTTGTGTTTTTTCTGTGATCTGTAAAATGTGATAACATTACGTCATTCATAGGAATGTTGTATGGTTTCACATATAATAAAATTTAAAATAAATTATATATAGTAATGTAATTCTCACTAATTAAGTTATATTCTTTCAAATTTAAATTTTAATATGCTGTGTGTCATTGAAATGATGTTGTTTCTGGATTTATAGAGGTATTGGGATTTAAAAAGAATGCACTAAGTTACTGTATCTTTGGAAATGATTTGTAGGAACCAATGATGCCCATGGACCAGTCATCCATGCACTCAGACCATGCACAGACAGGTAAGAATGACACTGGCACAAACCATTGCTCACTAACAAAGTGTCATTTAAAGACTTCTTTATGTGAATCTTATACCTAAATTTAAAGACATTTATATTCTTCCCAAATAAAAGCTAGGTAACCATATTTTGTGGTGGTAACATCAGTCACAGTAGTTAACATGTGTTTGGCATTTTAAAAAGACAACTATGTAAACTACAACAAATGGCTATTTTCTTTTATTCAGATAAATTTCTTTTGAGACCCCTTTATATTCAGCAAACCTACTTTTTTTCCATAATGAAAACATATACTGATTTTGTGGACCGTATTGACTATATTCAAGTGACCTGTTTTTATTAAAAACTCTATCATGAGATGAAGAAATGATGTAAAATATACAGAGATGCTGTATAGACAATTCAGAAAAGATCGTGTGAGTTCAAATGTCTAAAAAAAACCCAAATGTCTAGTAGATACAAAACCTTAAATATGTCTCTGGGAAATTTGGAGAGCAATTAAATGGGACAGAGCAGCCTGATCTGGGAAGAATCAAGAAAAAGAAAACAAGGGAGTTTTTCTGGAAGGACAGAATGTAGTACCTTGTTCCTGGAAGAAGCTGGTTGTATGAAATGTAGGCTTTTTTTTTTTTTTTTTTTTACCCAGGTAGCTTTAAGGAATAGAAGCCTGGAGTCCAACTGAGTCCACACTAGAGACCCTCTATCACTATGCCTCAATCATACTAATATAATTAAGTAGGGTTTATAGAGTCACCCTTTTGGAAGGAATTGATTAATTTGTAAAGAAGAGAAATATTTTTTTAAATAGCAAAAGTATTTGTTAAAATCAGTACTGGGCTATTGATTGGTTCCTCCTCTCTTTACCCTCATTAAAGATTAGAATTTAACTGGTATTTATGTATAATTTGTTATTAGTAGGACAGATACTCAATTTTAAATGATGAACACTTATTCAGAAATAAACATTAAGAAATATCAAATCAAGAGAAAATTTTAAGTGTAACTCAGTTAATGTATACTATGTTTTTCTCTCTCTTTTTTTTTTAATGTTTGGGATTGGTTTTTTAGTAATTCCATATAATCCTTCAAGTCATGAGAGTTTGGACCAAGTTGGTGAAGAAAAGGAGGTAAGATAATTAATTAGTCTTATGGTACATTATGTCATCAGCTTTTTAATGTGACAGTTTAAAAATATGACAAATTGACTTGCTTAAATTTTAGATCATAATTTTGTAGGGATGATTTTTAGTGATTCTAGAGTTTTATTCTGAGTTAATTCAATAAGTAAATTGGTAAAATCATTTAAATTAAGAAAGAATCTGGTGAGATAACATATTCATTTTAAGATAGCATAATCTAAAAATTATAATGCATTTAAGAATGGCATTTAGAATACTTGGTAGTATTGTTTAAAATATAGATCCTTCCATTTTATGGGCTAATTGTTTATTTAAAATATAAATGATTAAGCATCTTAACTGCCCATCTTTTTTGACTATTAAACATTTTATCAGCTTTTAAAACAGTTTAAAACGATAACCAATTTTTTGAAAAAAGCTTATAGTAAAAAAGATTTATCATGCCTCACACCTTCCACTCCCACTTTGACTTCTGAGAGGCAACCCCTTTTAATCATTTCTAGTTGTGTCCACTTTGTTTATACCTCTCTTTTTCAATTTTTCAACTTTATATATTTCTAACCATGAAAGGTTTAAACTAGTACACTACCCCGCCCCCTCCCCCGGCTCCCCCGCTTTTCTCTTCTCTTTCCAATGTTTGATAGGTGTATCATGTTTTACTCTGGGTAACCTTTTTATTACAGAAATTTTCAAACATCAATAAAAGTAAACAATACTATTCCAAGCTCCTGTGTCCATTACCCAGTTAAAACAATTGTCCGTACGTGTTTTGTCTACCAGCTTGCCTCACTCCTGTACTGTTTTGAAGCACATCTGTTGGTTACCTATTTAATCTCCTATCTCAGTTTCTTATTCCATCAATTTAGTCAATACCTTGACTCTCCTTTAGCGATCCTTTCTCTTTCTTCCAGCTTTCCTCTTTTAGCTACATATTTACTTTTATGCTGCCAAGGTTATTAACATTCATAATCTGTCCTGCAAGTGTAACCACATCTTCCATATTTTGTTCATTGGTTGACAATGAGTCATCCAAAGGAGGAAATTCTTAATAATAAGGAACAAATTCTCTGTTCTTCTGGCACGATGAGTTACTAAAGTTTCCTTTTGTTTGATCCTTGATGTTATTTTATAGCTTTTTGTTCTTTTGGGAATTTCTCATTGCCTTAAATATTATTTATTGGTTTGGTTGTTTACCAAAGACTCATTTGGTTTTATTTTCAAGACTTTTAATACATTTAAAAATTGAAGAATAGTATAGAGCAAAGTGCACAAGTCATGAGTACATAATCATGAGTATATAGAGCAAAGTGCACAAATCATGAGTATCTCTCTGGGTCAATTTTCACAGAGTGGACACTACATAATGACCACACAGATGAATAAATAGGACCTACTGCACATCCCAGGGGCCCGTCTTGTACCTTCTCCAAGTCACTGACATTCCCTCCTCCCTTCAAGTAACCGCAGTCTTAACACCACAGATTAGTTCTGCTCTTTTCCCCAAGCTTTTTATAAATGGAGTCACACAGTATCTTTTGTGTCTGGCTTCTTTTGTTCAATATTGTGTTTGTGAGGTTCAGCCATGTTTTATATAGCAGTATATCATTTATTTTCACTGTTGTTTCAATTCATCTATTCTGTTGACTTCCCCCCTGGATTGGGATTATTATGATATGCTGCTATGAACATTCTTGTAAATGTAGTTTGGTGCACATATTTAAGCATTTCTGTTAGGTACATAACTAGGAGTGGAATTCCTGAGTCTTGTGTACATTAGTAATGCCAAGCAGTTTCCCAAAGTACTTGTATCAATTTATACTTTCACCAGCAATGTGTGAGAGTATGATTTGCTCCACATCCTTATCAACACGTTGTATAGTGTGTCTTTTAAATTTTAGCCAACCTGTTGAATGTTGTAGTTTTTATGTGCATTTCCCTGCTGTGTACCTTTTCATGTATTTATTGACCATTTGGATATAATTTTCAGTTAAGTGTCTGTTTATATCTCTTTAAAAAAAAGTGAGTGGTCTGCCTTTGTTGTAACGATTTGTAGGAGTTTTTGGTATATCCTCAACATTAAGCTTTTATCAGTTATATATTGCAAATAGATTCTGCCACTCAATAGCTTGTATTTTCACTCTGATAATGGTATCATTGATGAACAGATGTTCTTGATTTTTTTCTTTTTAACATCTTTATTGGAGTATAATTGCTTTACAGTGTTGTGTTAGTTTCTGCTGTGTAACAAAATGATTCAGCTATATGCATACATATATCCCCATATCCCCTCCCTCTTGCATCTCCTGCCCACCCTCCCTATCACATCCCTCTAGGTGGTCACAAAGCACCGGGCTGATCAGCTATCTATTTTACATTTGGTAGTGTCTATATGTCAATGCTACTCTCTCACTTCGTCCCAGCTTACCTTTCCCCCTCCCCGAGTCCTCAAGTCCATTCTCTACATCTGCGTCTTTATTCCTGTCCTGCCCCTAGGTTCATCAGAACCATTTTTTTTTAGATTCCATATATATGTGTTAGCATACGGTATTTGTTTTTCTCTTTCTGACTTACTTTACTCTGTATGACAGACTCTAGGTCCATCCAACTCACTACAAATAACTCCATTTCATTTCTTTTTATAGTTGAATAATATTCCATTGTATATATATGTGCCACATCTTCTTTATCCATTCATCTGTTGCTGGACACTTAGGTTGCTTCCATGTCCTGGCTATTATAAAGAGTACTGCAATGAACATTGTGGAACATGACTCTTTTTTTTTTTTTTTTTTGCTGTACGTGGGCCTCTCACTGTTGTGGCCTCTCCTGTTGCGGAGCACAGGCTCCGGACGCGCAGGCTCAGCGGCCACGGCTCGCGGGCCCAGCCCCTCCGCGGCATGTGGGATCTTCCCGGACCGGGGCACGAACCCACGTCCCCTGCATCGGCAGGCGGACTCTAAACAACTGCACCACCAGGGAAGCCCCCCATGACTCTTTTTGAATTATGGTTTTCTCAGGGTATATGCCCAGTAGTGGGATTGCTGGGTCATATGGTAATTCTATTTTTAGTTTTTTAAGGAACCTCCATACTGTTCTCCATAGTAGCTGTATCAATTTACATTCCCACCAACAGTGCAAGAGAGTTCCCTTTTCTCCACGCCCTCTCCAACATTTATTGTTTGCAGATTTTTTGATGATGGCCATTCTGACTGGTGTGAGGTGATACCTCATTGTAGTTTTGATTTGCATTTCTCTAATGATTAATGAAGTTGAGCATTCTTTCATGTGTTTGTTGGCAGTCTGTATATCTTCTTTGGAGAAATGTCTATTTAGGTCTTCTGCCCATTTTTGGATTGGGTTGTTTGTTTTATTGATACTGAGCTGCATGAGCTGCTTGTATATTTTGGAGATTAATCCTTTGTCAGTTGCTTCCTTTGCAAATATTTTCTCCCATTCTGAAGGCTGTCTACATCTGTCTGTTCTTTTTTGGATAGAGATTTTGGGGCCTGTTTAAGAAATCTCTGTCTTTTCCAAGATTATTGAAGACATTGAAAAGACTATACTTTCCTCCATTATTCTGCAGAGGTATCTTTTCATCAATTATATGCCCATTATTACACGGTCTATTTCTGGATTCCTTTTTATTTTCCATCATTTATTTATTCTTATGCTGATATACTGTCATTATTATTATAGGTTTATAATAAGTCTTTTATATCTAGTAAAGTTCTACTTTGTTCTGGGAATTTGTTCTTGGCTACTCTTACTAGCTTTTTGAATTTCCATGTAAATTTTAGAATTAGCTCACTAGTTTCCATAGAATCAAGGAAATAAACCAAACCTGTTGATCAATTTCAGGAACAGTGATATCTACAATATTAAGTCCTCGATCCATGAACATGACACAGTTCTTCCATTGACTTAGGTCTTCTTTCATTTCTGTCAGTGTTTTATAGTTTTCAAAGTTCTTGCACTAGAGATATTGGAGGTAAATGGTATTCTTTTAAACTTTAATTGTCTATTTAATATTGTTATATGGAAATAAGGTTTTTTTCCTAAATTGCCTTGTATCCTGAGACCTTGCTAAATTCACTTATTAATTCTAATAGCTATCTAAAGATACTCTTAGATTTTCTACATATATGATCATCTTATGAATAACAGTTTCATTTCTTCCTTTTCCAATCTTATAGATTTTTTTCAGTTTTCTTACCTTATTGAGTTAGCAAGGACCTCTATAAATGGCCAACATGATGTTGAAAAGAAGTAACAATCAGATATTATTGTCTTGTTCCACGTCTCAGACAGAAATCTTCCAATATCTTATCATTAAGTTTGATGTTTGCTCTAGGTTTTTATTCTATAGATACCCTTATCAGAATGAGGGAGTTTGTCTCTATTCCTAGTTGGCTAAGATTTTTGTTTTCATCTTGAAAAGATGTTGAATTTTATCAACAACATTTTATGGCATTTGTGGGGTTGATCATGTATAAATTTCAGTAAATTTCTTTCTTTTTTTAAATTTAAATTTATTTATTTATTTATTTATTTTGGCTGTGTTGGGTCTTTGTTGCTGCACACGGGCTTTCTCTGGTTGCGGCAGGTGGGGGCTACTCTTCGTTGCTGTGCGTGGGCTTCTCATTGCAGTGGCTTCTCTTATTGCGGAGCATGGGCTCTAGGTGCGCAGGCTTCAGTAGTTGTGGTGCATGGGCTTAGTTGCTCCGCGGCATGTGGGATCTTCCCCGACCAGGGCTCGAACCCGTATCTCCTGCGTTGGCAGGTGGATTCTTAACCACTGCACCACCAGGGAAGCCCAATTTCAGTAAATTTCAAATGTTAAGGCTGTTTTTCATTTCTGGAATAAACTCCCTGTGTCATGATGTATAATTCTCTTTGTATATTGGTAGATCTGATTCGCCAACATTTATTTTAGGTTTTTGAAAAAATTATTAACAAGAATCATTGACCTGTAATTTTCCCCTTTTGTATTGGATTGTGAAGTTTTGGTATCAAAATAATACTGGGCTCATAAAATGATTTTGGAATTTTTCCTATTCCCAAGGAGAATTCTTATAAGATTGACATTATTTCTTTCTTACATTTTTGGAAGAATTCACCAGAAAAGCACTCTGGGCCTGGAGGGTTTTTTTGGTTTGTTTTTTTTGTTTGTTTGTTTCATGGGAAGGATTTGATTCTAGGTTCTATTTCTGAATAGATCTAGGGCAATTTAGCTTCTCTGTTTCCTCTTGTGCTATTCCTTGGAATTTGTCTAACCTAAATTTTCAAATTTATTGACACAAAGTTGTTAATTGCTGAGAATACGAAATGATATCCTTTTTTACTCCTGATAAAAAGTTACTGTGCATTCCCTTTTTCTTCATCAGTTTTGCCAAGGGGATGTCAATTTATTAGTCTTTTCAAAGAACTAACTTTTGGCTCTTTGTTGAATGCTTATATCCTATTCTATTGCATTGATTTCTCTTCTCATTATTTCCTTATGCTTTTTTGTCATTCACTTTTTTTTAATACATTCTTTTTTTAATATTCTTTTCCATTATGGTTTATCACAGGATACTGAATATAGTTCCCTGTGCTATACATTAGGACCTTGTTGTTTATCCATTCTAAATGTAATAGTTTGCATCTGCTAATCCCAAATTCCTAGTCCATCCCTCCCCAACCCCCCCTCCTGCCCCTGGCAACCACAAATCTGTTCTCTATGTCTATGAGTCTGTTTCTGTTTTGTAGATAGGTTCATTTATGCCATATTTTAGATTCCACAATTAAGTGATATCATATGGAATTTGTCTTTCTCTTTCTGACTTAGTATGATAATCTCTAGTTGTATCCATGTTGCTGCAAATGGCATTATTTCATTCTCTTTTTTTTTATGGCTGGTAGTATTCCATGGTATATATGTACCACATCTTCTTTATTCATTCATCTGTTGATGGACACTTAGGTGGCTTCCATGTCCTGGTTATTGTAAATAGTGCTGCAATGAACGTTGTGGTACATGACTCTTTGAATTATGGTTCTCTCAGGGTATATGCCCAGTAGTGGGATTGCTGGATCATATGGTAGTTCTATTTTTACTTTTTAAGGAACCTCCATACTGTTTTCCATAGTGGCTGTACCAACTTACATTCCCACCAACAGTGTAGGACGGTTCCCTTTTCTCCACACCCTCTCCAGCATTTGTTATTTGTAGACTTTTTAGTGATGGCCATTCTGACTGGCGTGAGGTGGTATTTCATTGTGGTTTTGATTTGCATCTCTCTAATAATTAGTGATGTTGAGCATCTTTTCATTTGCCTACTGGCCATCTGTGTCATTCACTTTTAAATATATCTTAATCTGTATTATGATTTCTTCTTTGATCCATGTATTATTTAAAAGTATTGATATACTAATTCATTTTCAAATACGTGGGAATTTTTTTTATTATTGTATTGAGTAGCTTAATTCTGCTGCACGTCAGAGAATGTATTCTATTCTGTGTGATTTCAGTCTTTTGAACTTTTTTGAAACTTGATTGAAGACCAAGCACACAGGCATTGGTGAATGTTCCATATGTATTTTTGAATATAATATATTCTGTAGTTGTTGGGTGAAGTATTCTATACAGATCAATTAAGTCAAGAGTAGTAACAGTGTTATTCAGTCTTCTGTTACCTCACTGACTGCATGTTCTTTCCCTGCAAACAGTTTTCATTTAGAATTTACCCGTCCCTTTTAGTTTTGTTGGTTTTTGCTTTACATATTTTGAGGCTATGTTATTGAATGCATGTAGATTTAGAATCATAGTATCTTACATTGGATTAATGCTTTTTCATAAAGAAATACCCCTCTCTATTTGTAGTAATGCTTCCTTGCCTAAAGTCCTTATGTTAAGTAATTGCTGTGTAACAAATTACCTTAAAATATAGTGGCTTAAAACAACAAAATTTATTATGTCATAATTTCAGTGGGTCAGGAATCCAGGTTCTTGTCTCAGAGTCCCTTAGAGGCTGCAGTCAGTGTACTGGCAAAGACTGCTGTCGTCTCAAGGCTCAACTGAGGAAGAAACTGCTTCCATACTTACTCACCTCATTGTTGGCAGGATTCACTTCCTTGACATGTGGCCTCTCCATAGGGCAGCTCACAGCAAGGCAGTTTGCTTCATCAGAGCAAGCAAGCAATAAGATCCAGAGATTGAATGCCAGCAAAACAGACCTCACAGTCTTTTGTAACCTAGTCTCAGAAGTGCCGTCCCTTCATTTTTGCCATATTTTTTTCATCAGAAGCTAGTCATTAGGTCCAGCCTGTACTCGAGGGGATTACACAAGGGCATGAATACTAGGAGGTGGGGATCACTGGGGTCCTCGTAGAAGCCAGCCTACCACAGTTGGCTACAGCTACTTTGTCTCATGTTAATTTAGCTACAGCTCTCTTTTGATTAGTGATTACATGGTATATAGTTTCTTACCCTTTTACTTTGAACATTTCTGTACACATGTATATCTTATTAACATCATAGAATTGGACTTCCCCCTCTGGTTTGATAGTCCTTAGCTGTAGTATTTAGTGTGTTTTAATATTTATGTATTGTTACATTTAATGTAAGTATATTTAAACTAACAACTTATTTGTATTTAAATCTACCAATTTACTATGTTTTCTGTATCATCTGTTTATGTTACTTTTCTAGCCTTCTTTTGGGTTAATTTTTTTTTTTTTTCCCCTCACCTCTTTTAGCTTGTTTCGCATTCTTTTGCTTTTTTATTACTGGTTGTTCTAGAGATTGCATCTTATACCCTTAACTTATTTAAATTCAATACAAATTATTAATAATACTTTTTACCATTTTCCAAGATATGCAAGGACCTTAGAACACTTTAAATTCACTCATGCTCCCTTCCTGTCTTTATTGCTATTTTTGTCATATTTTAAAATTCTGTATGTGTGTGTTAGTGTTTTTAAACAGTCAATCCTTATTTAGGTTTATCCACATTTTATTCTTTTTGTTCTGCGTTTGTTCTGTGTGTCTGCCTTCCATATGAGATCATCTTTCTTCTTCTTGAAGAACTCAATATTTCCTTGAGTGAGAACCAACTAGTGACGGATTTCCTTAGTTTTTGTTTGTCTGAAAATGTATTTATTTCATTTTCATTTTGAAGGCTATTTTTACAGGCTGTAAGATTGTAGATAAGCAAGGGGGGGGAAGGGGTAAGCCATTTAAAAGGTGACATTCCACTGTTTTCTGGCTTCTGTCATTTCATTCAGCCTTATTATTGTTTATGTGAAGGAACTGTGCTTTCATTCCATTTGATTCTCTTTTATAGCTTCCAGTTAACCATATTTAAAGTCTATACATTGCTTTATCTTTTTACCATTTTCTGCTTTCTTAATCTGCCCTAATCTGGTTTCTTTCACTCCTTTTTATTTATTCTTATTACCAAGTCAAATTATCATCTCTAAATTTTGTTTTGGATAGTCATCCTCCTTCAATTTTCATAATACTTTTTTCTTTCCTGTTTTGTGCTTACTAGTTTATCTTTCTGAAAATTTGCTCCTTGCTTTTGCTGATACTCTTCACTTCAGAAAATTCGTACTTAATTCTCATGAGTATATCTGTTGGTTGTATGCTGGGAATTTTGCAGGCATCTAATAAAAGATTATCTTTAGTCTTCTTTATAAATTTCCAGAAGCCTAAGTTTCTACTTGTGAATGAATTACAGGGCTGACTTTGTCATTCCACAGGAGTCTTGGTATTGTATAGCAAAGAATGTTTTACATTAGCTGAACTGCCCCATGCTTGTTTTCTGCCTGTAGCTTAACTTAGATTTCATACATTAAGCTTCTGGCAGACTCTTTCATCTTGATGTCCCATTGTAACTTCTAATTTCAGTATGAAAAATCGAGCTCAATTATCTCATCAACTCTGTCAGTCTTACCATGTGCTCACACTTCATTTTTCTAGCAGTGGCACCTTCAGAGTCCCAGTCACCGAAGTTAGTGTCATTTTTTTATTCATGTGTCTCCACTGCCTCCATACCCAAAAGTTATCAGATTCCAAGACATCCTTCGATGTTTCTCAAATTTCAACTCCTTCTCCTTTCCTAACACCACCCCTCTGACCTCAACTCATGAATTCATCCTACCTCTTGAGTAGTTAGATTATATCATTTGGAATGATGTAAGAAACTAATTAACTTAAATCAGAAAATATTTAAAAATCTTACAGGTATAACTAGGTGTTAGAAGTATATTGTGTTATGCAAAATACTTCAGGTATAACTGTTTGGTATAAATGTTCTCAACAGGCAATGAACACCAGGGAGAGTGGCAAAACTTCATCCAGTTTAGGTCTTCAGGATTTTGATTTGCTCCGGGTAATAGGAAGAGGAAGTTATGCCAAAGTACTATTGGTGCGATTAAAAAAAACAGATCGTATTTATGCAATGAAAGTTGTGAAAAAGGAGCTTGTCAATGATGATGAGGTAAGCACTATGATGTTTTATTACCTCTGAACTGTTAAGTTGGCTTAAGTGTACTATTTCAGAAAAAAACCTCAATGTTTATGCCTTATTATTTCAGCCTACTTTTCTAAATACATGCTTCAAACAGATTATTTAAGGTATATTTAAAGTTATCTGATGGGGACTTCCCTGGTGGCTCAGTGGTTAAGAATCCGCCTGCCAGTGCAGGGGACATGGGTTCGATCCCTGGTCTGAGAGGATCCCATATCCTGCGGAGCAACTAAGCCCATGCACCACAACAACTGAGCCTGCACTCTAGAGCCTGTGAGCCACAACTACGTACAGATGTATCAGTTGTAAATAACCTCAAGAGCATAGATAACAGTTACATGTAATAAAATAATTAGTTTTGAGTATTTATCACATTTATTTTTAATATAACTAATTGTAAGTTTGTAGAATTTAAGTGTTAATAATGGTTGTTTCAGAGAGGAAAACATAGGAAGAACACTCTTTGACATAAATCACAGCAAGATCTTTTTTGACCCACCTTCTAGAGTAATGGAAATAAAAACAAAAATAAACAAATGGGACCTAATGAAACTTAAAAGCTTTTGCACAGCAAAGGAAACTATAAACAAGACGAAAAGACAACTCTCAGAATGGGAGAAAATATTTGCAAATTAATCAATGGACAAAGGATTAATCTCCAAAATATATATACAGCTCATGCAGCTCAATATTAAAAAAACAAGCAACTCAATCCAAAAATGGGCAGAAGACCTAAATAGACATTTCTCCAAAGAAGACATACAGATGGCCAAGAGGCACATGAAAAGCTGCTCAACATCACTAATTATTAGAGAAATGCAAATCAAAACTACAATAAAGTATGACCTCACACCAGTTAGAATGGGCATCATCAGAAAATCTACAAACAAATGCTGGAGAGGATGTGGAGAAAAGGGAATCCTCTTGCACTTTTGGTGGGAATGTAAATTGATACAGCCACTATGGAGAACAGTACGGAGGGTCCTTAAAAAACTAAAAATAGAATTGCCACATGACCCAGCAATCCCACTCCTGGCCATATAACCGGACTAAACTGTAATTCATAAAGATGCATGCACCCCTATGTTCATAGCAGCACTATTCACAATAGCCAAGACATGGAAACAGCCTAAATGTCCACCAGCAAATGAATGGATAAGGAAGATGTGGTACATATATACAATGGACTATTACTGAGCCACAACTACTGAGCCCACACGCCACAACTCCTGAAGCCTGCATGCCTAGAGCCTGTGCTCTGCAACAAGAGAATCCACAACAATGAGAAGCCCGTGCACCACAACGAAGAGTAGCCCCTGCTCACCACAACTCGAGAAAGGCTGCATGCAGCAATGAAGACCTAACACAGCCAGATAAATAAATAAATAAAGTTATCTGAGGATTATTAGATTTTTTAAAAATAAAAATCAAACCATATTATTATCAAGGGCAAGTACTTGAGCTTTGTAAAGTTTTCTAGAGTGTTGCGTAATATTGAAAGATTTACTGGTAGTATTTTCTCTTTGTATATAAATTACTATTTCATGATTATCAATGCTTTTGATATTTAGCCTAGTTAGTTAATAATTGCATTTATGGTAATAGAATTACTAAGAACAAATTTATCATAGTTTTGATGATATCATTTCAGTTTGACATAGATTTCTTTTGTATTTTAAAATAGGATATTGACTGGGTACAGACAGAGAAGCATGTTTTTGAGCAGGCATCTAATCACCCTTTTCTTGTTGGGCTGCATTCTTGCTTCCAGACAGAAAGCAGGTAAGATTGAAAGATAATGGAATGATACCTGGGTTTTACACATTTTGGTATATTACACAATAAGAACCCCTTTCTACAGTAATTCCTGAAGTGGAAGTCACATGGAGACAGACACAACAGTACTATGCTTGTAATTTCCTGCTACTCATACTCCAACCAGTGATATCAATTTGACATTGGATCAGCATTAGGAAATTACCTGCTTTAGGCAAAAAAAAAAAAAAAAAAAAAATAGCCAGGTCCTAATTATGGCAGTAGAAATCCAACCTTTTAAATATCACCAAGATTCTAGTTATAGGACTTAAATGTTCCTAGAGTTTAATTAAGGGGATAGATTCTAACTTCTTTTGCCTTAAGTGACAGTTGAAAATGACTTACACATTGCACATTCTAAAACTGGGGTGGGAGTGAGAGCTCTGGATTGCAAATGGTACTATTGGCTTGGCCACAAAGTTCATTTGGGCTTTTCGTTAAGATCTTATGGAAAAACCCAAATGAACTTTTTGGCCAACCCAATACTTTAGAATAGAAGTAGCAGGTTACAAATTATCTTTCTGATTTACTTTCTTGTATCTTCTGTGATTAAACAGCTTTCTGCTCCAATCACCCTTCGTTTCCACAAAATTCCTGGAATTTTTGTTAAGGGTGAATCATGTAGAATGCTCTCTATGCTGTGACTGGTCTCTATAGTTTTAAAATGCAAAGTTACACCACCTTATTTTGGATCTTGGTTTCATGTGTTCTCTTCTGTTTTTTAGATTGTTCTTTGTCATAGAGTATGTTAATGGAGGAGATCTAATGTTTCATATGCAGCGACAAAGAAAACTTCCTGAAGAACATGCCAGGTAAGTTTTTTGTTTATTGTTTGCTTGTGTTGAAGTTTGGTGGGAGGAGCTATGGGACTTTTTATATGCCAGTGGTTGAAAACAGTAGATAAATCATTTATTTTGATACGAGCTAATTCTTTATAAGTCATGTAAAGGCTAAGCTAACAGTTAAATTATATTATAATGTGATACATATTACATATATAATAATATAATTATAAGCAATTGAGAAGTATAAACAATGTTAAAGCGGAAACCTTTAGTCTACGAAACTCAATTATTTTCAAATATTTTCTCTATTCAGTATCAGCCACTAAGATAATTAATGAATTTATAGACACTTATTAATCTTATCAAGTTTGCAGTGATGGCTGACAGTTTTTCATTAGAAGATTATTATTCATATATACTTGAGAGTAATAAAACAATTCCTCTTAACCTATTATGTAATCGACTGTTCTTCCATAATTATAATTTCTGAATTGTTCTGGCTTTGGCTTCCCCCCCTCTGATCCCATACATGTTGATTAATAAGAGAAAAGAGTATTAAATATCATTTATTTGTTTAGTGCCCTTAATCTGATATTCTTATACAGGATTGTAAATTGTTGGAGGACTTAGGTGGGGAAGGATAAGAAGTTTAATCCATGAGTGCCATGTTTTATTTTGTTTTTTACTCATAATTAGCAGTAATTCTACCCTTTTGCACTTCACAAGAGTAATGCCAAAATGAAGCATGTGAGTTTGTATATGTATGTAACAAAGGTTAGAGATTCATTTTAAAAAATAACTTATTTAGTGGAAATCTCGCTATTCATTGATATTTCTTGTCAAAAAGAGATAATAGCTTTCAATTTTATAAGAAGGTATAAAGTGTATTAATCTGTCTCGGGGCCAAACTGCTGTTGTTGTTGTTTAATTTACTGTATGTTCATTATTTATGTAGGCTTTAGCAAATGGTCACCCTTCATGGCAAAGCCACAGATGATATTTTGAATTGTGAATATAGCCGGTATTTGTTCCTTGTTTGTTCAGCTGGACTTGGGGGAAATAGTCTTGTTTTTATTGTATTAAAGTGCCCGTTCTGGTTTTATATCATCTTTGCTTTTCTAGGAACCAGAGTATAGGATAAGAGCTCAAGTTCCCTATTCTTAGAATTAAGTAGCTGGAAGGTGTGTATTATGTACCTCCAGACATGATCATGATAACATTCACCAAAGCAGCCCAAAACCAGCTAGGGTGTTTCATTTTCATTATTCAGGTCAAAAATTCTGCTTACCACCAAATTCTGCTTGCGTCCAGTTGTAGGAGTGTGGACTTTCTGAAGTCCATCCAAGGGCCCAGATTAAGAATCCCTGCTTGAGACTTTCAAATTAAACCTTATGAAAAGTACGGGTTTAATTTAGATTGGAACTTTATAATTGTGTTTAGGGCTCAGCTATCTTAAAGTGGCGCTTCAATTTGTGTTTTGGTACTGTTCCTAAAAACATTGAGAGAAAAAAAATCTTTTGACATGATTTTGATGTTCTGGTTTGCAGATGAGAGTAGGATTTAAATACCTTTCTGTAGGCACTTACCACAATTTAAAAATTTGAATCAAATGAGTAATTTTTCATTTTATTTTAGATTTTACTCCGCAGAAATCAGTCTAGCATTAAATTATCTTCATGAACGGGGGATAATTTATAGAGATTTGAAATTGGACAACGTGTTGCTGGACTCTGAAGGACACATTAAACTCACTGACTATGGCATGTGTAAGGTGAGGGGAAATTTCTAGTTATTCAGAAGATCTCAGCAGCTCAGGAAATTGTTTCAGTCAAATAACTTTATATTTAATGATGGGGAAATAAGTGCTACTTTGTGCTAGAATTCCAAAAAGTATCCTAAACAAAGACAAATGCACTGATTTCCTAGCCATTTACAAAATTCCATATTTTCTGTGAGCGTTATATGTGCTATAAGAGTTATTTTTATTTTCTGTAATTTTTTATCTTCAAAGTTGTGACACTGTTGAAGAAAACTTGGAGGTAAAAACTGTCTACAAACCCACAACTGTAAAACTGCTTGCATATCACCTTCCAGTTTTTGCCATTTAATTGTGACTCTTAATGATGCACTCAAGATTTTCCTGGGAAATCTAACATTTTTTATAAATTTAAATTTAAATATCTGACATAAAATTCAATAAAGCAAAATAAGAATTTTAGTTACTCTCAGGACATGTCCTTTATTTCTTGGTGTTTTATTCTTTTTGTAACAATGTTTCATTTACGGGTCCAGCCTTTTTCCAGGAGATGTGTAGGGGGCTACTCTCCTTGTCAAAATAGCTGGGACCGAATTATCTTCACACAGTGAATTTGCCAACAAGCATGTGAATGTGTTATTTGCCTTTCCCCATTCACCTGAGGGAAGTGCCTCCAGAGCCTGGTTCTTTTTATTCAAAGAAATTTGGGCATCCTGTTTTGCCTGGAAGATATTATTAGAGAAAAATCACTTGATCTTTTTGTTACTCTTAATGAAAAATAATAATGGTTTGTTATATATTCCCATTCTTTCCAGAGATCCTCAATCAAATTAATCACGATCTTTGATAAATCTGAGAGATTTTATTCAGTAGTTCTTTAAGTTGGTTGTCTTGCTTACCTCCTTTTCTGCCTCCTTCTCCAGGAGCTATTTGGTGTTATTAGTAGGAAATAACACCAGGATTGGAACTTGTGTTCAGAGACTTAACCAACAGTACTTTGTTTCTTTTCCAACTAACATATTTACGCCCGATGTTAAACCTTATGGGAAATAAATCCGCTGGAAATTTGAATGTTTTTATCTTATGACTTAACATCAGTATTTAAAGTTAACTAATGTCTGACCTTGGGCATATATTGGATAAATTTTTTTTCCTTATAATTATTCTTTGGTAAATCTAAATCATTCAAGTTTTTTTCAGTTTCTCCAGGTTTAATTAATTTAATTTCTTCAGTTTCTCACTAGATACTTTTATATAAAGAATGCAGGGACTTCCCTGGTGGTCCAGCGGTTAAGACTCCACTCTCCCAGTGGAGGGCGTCCGGGTTTGATCCCTGGTCAGGGAACTAGATCCTGCATGCCACAACTAAAGATCACGTACTCGGCAATGAAGATCCTGCGTCGCCTAAATAAATAAATATTAAAAAAAAAAAAAAAGAGGGATTTCCCTGGCATTCCAGTGGTTAAGACTTCGCCTTCCAATGCAGGGGGTGCAGGTCTGATCCCTGATCGGGGAGCTAAGATCCCACATGCCTTGTGGCCAAAATACCAAAACATAAAACAGAAGCAATATTGTAACAAATTCAATAAAGACTTTATAAAATGTATTAAAAAAGTTTATAAAGCATGCAGAGAATAGTGATGACTGGAGGCATATGAAAACTGCAATTAACATCTTCAGAGTTATGTTTGGAATATTTTATGAACATTGATTTTTTTTAATTGACTGAAGAACCAGCTATTTTGTGAATTGATGTGCCTTTAACTATTTTTTATCAGCAGGGTGTGTTATAATAATATCTATGTTATGCTGTAAATAATTTAGCTGATGGGCCTATGTTCAGATATCCAGTCAAAAGGTGAATGATTTAGTATAGTTCTTTTACAAGTTAACAGACTGCATCCCTTGCCTCTGAGTCTTACCTTGAAAGTGCATGTCACTCACCATGAGACTGTATGTCAAGCCATTGCCCATAATACAAAACAACTTAAATCACATTCATATTTCTTTGTACAGGCATACTTCATTTTACTGTGCTTCACAGATATTGCGTTTTCTCCAAGTTGATGTTTTTTGGCAACCCTGTGTTGTCAGATGATGGTTAGCATTTTTTTTAATATTTATTTATTTATTATTTATTTATTTTTGGCTGCATTGGGTCTTAGTTGCAGCACACAGAATCTTTTGCTGCAGCGCGCAGGCTTCTCTCTAGTTGTGGTGCATGGGCTCCAGAGCATGTGGGCTCAGGAGTTGCAGCGTGCAGACTTAGTTGCCCTGCAGCATGTGGGATCTTAGTTCCCCGACCAGGGATTGAACCCTCATCCCCTGCATTGGAAGGCAGATTCTTAACCACTGGACCACCAGGGGAAGTTCTTGTTAGCATTTTTTAGCAATAAAGTTTTTTTTTTTATTTTTATTGAAATATAGTTGATTTACAATGTTGTGTTTAAAGTATTTTTTATTTAAGGTATTCACTTTGTTTTTTAGACATAATGCTTTTGCACACTTAATAGATTACAGTGTAGTGTAAACATAATTTTTATATGCACTGGGAAACCAAAAATATTCGTGTGACTCAATTTATTGTGATGTCATAAATGGGGGTCTGAAAGCAAACTGCAGTATCTCCATGTATGCCTGTATACAAAAATAACATATATATCCCTGTTAGAGATCTTTAAAAAATCCTTGGAGTCACAACATATATTACTAAATATTTCTTCTAGATGTTTGTGTTAGTGTTATATATAATAGTGTAAAATTTGAAGACAGATACATACATCACGCCCAGAATATCTCTGTAGGAACACATAAGAACCTCATGACAGTGACTGTCCCTAGGGAGCTGGAACTGGATGCGTCAGGGACAAGAATGGGAGGAAGGCTTGATTCTTAGTGTATATCTTCCCCACCAACCTTTTTGTTTGGAATTTTGTACCATGTAATTTAACAATAGGGAAATGGTTAGATTCTAGGTACATATGTTGAGTTGGATTTGTAGTTATTAGTAATACGAAGTCTGTAATTACATGGGAAATTACATAGCTATAAAGTAAAAAAAGCAGACGCTTAATTGTATATTTAGTATTATTCAGCTTGTATTTAGACTATCTTTTTATTATTTTTAGTTTTAATTGAGGTATGGTTGATTTATAGTATTATGTAAGTTTCAGATATACAACATAGTGATTTACGGTTTTTAAAGATTGTAGTCCATTTATAGTTATTATAAAATTGGACTATATTCCCTGTGCTGTACAATATACCCTTGTAGCTTATTTATTTTATACATAGTAGTTTGTGCCTCTTAATCTCCTACCTCTATTTTGTCCCTTCCTTCTCCCTCTCCCTCTCCCCACTGGTAGCCACTAGTTTATTCTCTATATCTGTGAGTCTGTTTTTGTTGTTGTTACTATATTCATTTGTTTGTTTTATTTTTTAAATTCCACGTATAAGTGATAGCATACAGTATTTGTCTTTCTCTGTCTGACTTATTTCAATAGCATAATAACCCTCCAAGTCTATCTATGTTGTTGTTAATGGCAAAATCTCATTCGTTTTTGTGGCTGAGTAGTATTCCAGTAGTATTTTGTCAGTGGTTTCCTTTGCTGTGCAAAAACTTTTAAGTTTAATTAGGTCCCATTTGTTTATTTTTGCTTTTGTTTCCTTTGCCTTAGAAGATAGATCAAAAAAATATATATATTGGTACAATATATGTCAAAGAGTATTCTGCCTATGTTTTCTTTCAGGAGTTTTGTGGTTTCTGGTCTTATATTTAGGTCTTCAATCCATTTTGAGTTTATTTTTGTATATGGTGTGCGAAAATATTCTAATTTCATTCTTTTACATGTAGATGTCCTGTTTTTCCAGCACCACTAATTGAAGAGACTGTCTTTTCTCCATTGTATACTTTTGCTTCCTTTTTCATAGACTAATTAACCACAAGTGAATGGGCTTATTTATGGACTCTCTCTTTCTGTTCCATTGATCTATGTGTCTGTTTTTGTGCCAGTAGCACACTGTTTTCATTACTGTAACTTTGTAGTATAGTCTGAAGTCAGGGAGCTTGATTCCTCCAACTCTTTTCTTTCTCAAGATTGTTTTGGCTCTTTCTCATTTAATTGCCTGTGGCGCAAGAATGGTCTGAATGATACTAGTCCTTTGAAATTTATTGAGGTTTCTTTTATGCCTTAGTATTTGGTCAGTATCCCAAATGTACTTTAAAAAGGGTATGTAATCTCTGTTTTGCATTCAAGGAGTCTCTCCCTCCTTTTCCGTTTCTCCACACATACACGTAGATATATATATTCTATATGTATGTAAACTATACATATTTTAAACTCTAGCGTTTGTCCAAATCTTTCTCTGCTTACTAATTTTTTTGTTGGTATGACCTACCATTTTTTGATATAAATGTGTTAAAATTACCTGTCATGATTGGGGATTGTACTATCAGTCCAGGCTGCTATAACAAGGTACTACAGATTAGGTGGCTTAAGCAACAAACACTTATTTCTCATGGTTCTGGAGACTAGGAAGTCCAAGATGAAGCTGCTGGCAGATTTGGTGTCTGAAGGCACCCCTCCTGGTTTGCAGAAGAGTAAAGGCATTCTTCGTGGTTTGCAGATGGCTGTCTTCCCGTTGTGTCCTCAAATGGTGGGGAGAGAGAAAGGGGCTAGCTCTCTTTCGCTTCTTATAAGAACATGAATCCCATCATGGGGCTCAAACCTTATGATCTAATTACCTCCCCAAAGCCTCCCCCCACAATGCTATCACATTAGGGCTTCAGCATAAGAATATTAGGGGCATGTAAACATTCAGGCCACAGCAGGGATTGTGAAGTCCTCTTAATAATTTTGTCCATTTTTACTAGTTGTATTTTGAGGCTGTGTTGTTAGCTGCATACAAGTTTGTTTTAACTTCTTGGTGATTGTTCCATTTGTTATTGTGTAGTTTCTCTATTTATACATATTAGTGTGTTTTACCTTAATTTCCTCCATCCTGTAGCTATTAAAATACAAAACCAAAAAACGTGTGCCTTAGGAGAAATGATCAGAAGGGAAACATCATAATGCCAGCAGTGGTTGTGTTAGGAGGTGGGATTTAAAGAGCTTCTTTTCTTCATAAAATATGATTCCTTTTACTCATGTAATTTAAGTTTTTCTATTATAATTTTACTTGAGTATAAATTATTTTAAGTGCAGTTTTTATCTTAATTGAACTGACTGTTTACCTACATCTAATGAGGACAGGTTTTTTTTAAGGTATTTAGTAGCAACCCATGATTTTAATAGTAAAGGCAACTGTGCTAGTGATATTTTATTTAAGCTCAATATATTACCTATAGATTCTGACCTTATATGATAGATGAAATAAAAGAGGTGAATTTAAAACAGATTTTGCATCTTATTATTTTTTTTCTTTTTTTTTAATAAAAGGAAGGATTACGGCCAGGAGATACAACCAGCACTTTCTGTGGTACTCCTAATTACATTGCTCCTGAAATTTTACGAGGAGAAGATTATGGTAATAAATTGGTGGTATTTTGGCTATGTGCTAGAAGGGTGGTTAAATATGGTACCAATTGCATTATAGTACACTATAGTATTTCAATACTGAGCTTATTAACATAAACTTTCTTGATCTTCTTAAAACCTACATAAATCCCCCAAATTCTGAAATCAGAGATGGTGGGACCTTGGCAGTATTTGGGGGTGCAAATTTGAATAATATTTTATTAGTAGCAAGCACTTAAGAGTACTAGGCACTATTCTAAGCAGTTTGCATATGTTAACTGTTAATCCTCTTAATAATCCTATGAGGTAAGCACTGTTAATTCACATTTTGCAAACAAGGAAACTGATGTACAGAAAGGTTAAATAACTTGCCCAAGGTCATGTAGCTGGAAAGTGGCAGAGTTGGGATTTAATCAGCCATGTGACTCCAGAGTCATAAAGCTCTGGAAGATTGTTCAGATTTCCTAGGGTATTTCCCCCAGGAATCTGAAAGATGGAGGAAAGATTGCCTGCTTGCCAGGAACCAGAAGATATGTTTATCTCAAGAAAACATTTGACCCTTTGGGTTCTGGCCCTTTGATTCCAGCAGCTGTAAAGGAGGATGGGTATTTCTGATAGCTGCTCATAATCCAGTTCCAAAGTCCTTCAAGGATCTTTAGTCAGCTAGCAGAAGATCACGTTTCAGATCAAGGAAGGTTATTCTCAAATACAATTTCTTTATATCCTCAAAACAAAATATTAGATACAGGCTATGAGTCTGAAATTACAGACATATTTGGGAAGCGAAACTTATGTTCCATTTTCCATATTTTATTTTTAAAGTTATCTTTTAGGTACCTCCCCTTTTTGTTAAGTGAAATATTCCTATAATCCTCCATGCCTACCATGATAGTTGTAATGCATTTCGAGTTTACTTTTTCATTATGTTTATTTTTTTTATTATGTAATAAAATGAATCTCAAATTCCTGACTTTTTAGAATGCAGAATGGATAATTTGTTGCTTTAAAATTTCTTTTTGAAGGTTTCAGCGTCGACTGGTGGGCTCTTGGAGTACTAATGTTTGAGATGATGGCAGGAAGGTCTCCATTTGATATTGTTGGGAGCTCTGATAACCCTGATCAAAACACAGAGGATTATCTTTTTCAAGGTAATTTGCAGTGTTTTACAGAGATTCACTGTGAATAATCTATTCTAGAGCATGAATGAGGATGGCTCAAGTTATTACTTTGAGTAAGAAAGAGGAGAATAATCTGGACAATATAGTCCTTAACACATGAGGCTTTGAGTTTGTTTTTGTTGTTGTTGTTGTTTTGATCTATCCTTCCTACCTCTTAGTCTGTTCACATTTGCCAGTTACCTTCTCATACTCAAAATCATAACAAAGAGGTTCCTTCAGATTGTACATCACAGAGATTGGAGGAAAGAATTGTGTAGCTAGAGAGGACAGTCTTTTCACCTGGACCACAAGGCTGAATGCATAAGTCCAACAGAAATATGGGGAAAAAGTAGAGTACCAAGAAGATAAGAGGGATCAAAAGGTGAAGAAAAAAGCCCCACAATTGGAAATACAAAGAATTGAACAGAACGGAAACGAGCAGACAAGCACAAGGACGCCTCCCCAACCAACACACAGTCCAAAGAAGTGCGAAGACTGCCATAAAATTCTACATTTCATAATTAAGGCCGTCACAGGAAATGAATGGATATTTCATGTCATAGGAAATCCAGCTGACTGTGGAATATATGGAAAGACGTTCAACCTCACTGCTAATTAGGGGTGTGCACATGAAAATATTAATGAGCTACCATTTTCTACCTACACATTTGGCAAAAACTTGAAAGTCTGATAATACTAGTGCTGGTGAGGATATGGAGCAACTGGAACTCTGGTGTGAAATGAAAATGGAGTGAAAATGGACAGAACAGCTTTGGAGAATAATTTGGCAACGTCTAATAAAATCGAATTTAGTAATATGTGCCACACATTTTACAGATACTAACTCATTTAAACCTCATAACACCCCAATGAATCAGGTATTATTTTTATTCCAATTTTACAGATGAGGAAACTAAGGTAAGGTAGTCAAAGAATAAAACATATGCATATAATGATAAAAACTGTTCAGAGTAGATAGAGGCTGTCTCTGAGAAGGAAGGAGAGGAATGGGACTGGGAAAGTACACAGGACGCTTAGGTAGTGTATGTAATGTTTTTGTTTTCTTCTGCTAGAATGCCTTAAATACCTCATAATAAAAATATAAAGATTAAAGCCCTGTAAAAGTTAAATATAACGCCGTAAATTTTATCTTTCTAGTTATTTTGGAAAAACAAATTCGCATACCACGTTCTTTGTCTGTAAAAGCTGCAAGTGTCCTGAAGAGCTTCCTCAACAAGGTATAAATTGTGTATAAAATCTTTAGTGATTTATCTCTATACAAATGAAGCTGGTAAGGAGAGGTTCAGGCAACGTAAAATTCCAAAACATCAGAGTATGTAATTTTTCAGTTAGATCTGGAACTTGTCTCTTCAGCAAAGAGTAGGTTGACAGAATTAGATCCTGAGGTGAGGTGTTCTTTCCATTTTGCCAATATAATTTACCCCCAGCTTTATATTACATATGGTGTTTTTAATGTAAATGAAAAATACCATGTACTCAGGGAAAAATTGCATCTCTGGGGATAGCCTCAATTGTACTTTCAGCTCTGTTTTTCAGTTTTCTTTAGATTATTATTCATAGAATGTCTTAACTTATTGAGCACTTAGTGCAGTAGTGTTCCCTGCAAATTCTCATATCACAACCCTATAATTAGATAATATTCAGAAGAAATGAAATGCTATCATTGGTGCTTTAAAAAATCTGAACATCTGAAAATTCTGTTGTTTGTTGCAGTTGGTAGGCTAGAAGAGTTTTAGGATCTATCTAAATTACGATTCCGAACTACCTTTACTCATAACACTTCTAACACCAAATGTGTAGGTTTTTTCCACACCAACCAATTTTCCAATTCTTACGTTAAAATCTTATTTTAAATAAATGGTAGGTAGAAAGTAGGCTAATATGCAGTTATTTATTTATTTATTTAAAGAGCCCTCTCTCTACCACCAATCTACTTCTTTTTTTTATATATAAATTTTATTTATTTTTTAATTTTTGGCTGTGTTGGGTCTTCATTGCTGCGTGGGCTTTTCCCTGGTTGCAGCGAATGGGGGCTACTCTTTGTTGCAGTGCGTGGGCTTCTCATTGCGGTGGCTTCTCTTGTTGCAGAGCACGGGCTCTAGGAGCACGGGCCTCAGTAGTTGTGGCACAAGGGCTTAGTTGCTCCATGTGGAATCTTCCCGGACCAGGGCTCAAACCCGTGTCCCCTGCATTGGCAGGCGGATTCTTAACCACTGCGCCAACCAGGGAAGCCCTGCATTTATTTTCTAAGATAAATAGATAAGATAATGATGAATTTTAATAAAATAAGAAATTCAAGCTTGTTTTAAATGAGTATTTTATGTGAGGAAAGATTTAAACTGGAAACCTAAGCTTTAACACAGTGAAAAGTGAAGGTGAGAAGTGTCAATATGCAAAACAAATGCCTTTTACTGCAAAGAAAAATGGGAACATATTCTCATTCATGATAATTTTATAAGTTGCAGGCCGCTTCTCAGTCCATTGATTCAAATAATGTTTGTATTGTTGCGCTATACACGGATTATGGTTGTTGTAATTGGGCATAGGGCTTTTAAATTGAGCTAAAAAACAAACTTGTAAGGTTTGGGGGTTTGCATATTTTGACTATCGCTCTAACCCGTGTGAAAGAAAGAGCTGGATGCTGCCCAGTTGATTCTGCTGTTCTTTTTCCTCCCATTTTTCATTAGCAGGGTGTGGCGACATCTCTCCACTTGAATTACAAGGATAGCTGGAGAGAGAGCCATGAAGAAATCTTACTTGTCACAAGCTTCAGATACTCATTTGAGTGTCTAGTGTTGCACTTTCTAGAAAAGAAAGGTAGACCATTCTGAGTTCAGACATAAAGGTATCATATAATAGACACAAAACACAGTTCACAAAGATGATTTATTCTAAAGCAGGATATTCACCCAGTTCTTGAAACATTTCTTTCCACCATAGGACCCAAAGGAACGATTGGGTTGTCATCCTCAAACAGGATTTGCTGATATTCAGGGACACCCATTCTTCCGAAATGTTGATTGGGATATGGTATGTAAATTGGACTGTTTAATATATTAGGTTTCATTATTTTCTTGGGCCAAAATTTATTAACTTAAAAGAATATTGAAAAACTAGTATATCACAGCTTAAATAATTTAAAACCACTGTCTTCAGTGCTTTTAAAAAAGCTTTTGAAACAGTAAAAGCTTAGAACATTAATTTAATGGAGCAGGTTGTAATATTATTGAGGCCTGCATCAATGTTCAGATTTGTAAATTATTTCCATCATTGTGAATATTGTAGAACAATGCCTAGGGACTCATTTTAATAAGACTGGGAAATATCTGAGGACAGAGGAGAAATGTAGAGGTGGAATATTTCTAAGAATGCAGGCTTGAGCTGTCATCCACTATGTCTTTTCTAGATGGAGCAAAAGCAGGTGGTACCTCCCTTTAAACCAAATATTTCTGGGGAATTTGGTTTGGACAACTTTGATTCTCAGTTTACTAATGAACCTGTCCAGCTCACTCCAGATGATGAGTAAGTAGTTCTATAGACTGAAAATATTTTTAAAGTTCTTTGGAAGTCCCATTTTTAACGGCTTCACAGTGTTTCATTATCAGATTATGCTGTATTTTATCTAATCATTCAGTTATGGGATGTTTGAATCACACAATTATAAAAACAGTGTTTGTCATTTTCTTCTTTGCTTTACGTGTATTATCTCTAATTCTCACAACAACCTTGTAAACCTAGTTGTCATCATCTTCGTTTTACAGATGAGGAAACCAAGGCTCAGAGAGGTTAAGCAAAGTTATGCAGCTATGAGGTAGCAGAGCCAGGATTCAAACCCAAGTCTGACTAAGGCCTGTGCTCTTTCCATTCCACTGCACTGTTTCCCGTTTTGATGATGACCATCTTTGAGTTCCTGAGTATTACCTTAAGATAGATTCCTAGACAGCGCATTAGGTCAAAGGGTGCAAAATTTTTAAAGCTCTTGATATGTATTGCCAAGTTACTTTTTTTTAAAAGATTACATCAACATATCAAGTCCAGGCAGCAGTGATCTGACATGCTTTTTGTGTTTATGTTGCATCTTTTAAAGTTTAGAATAACTTGGGGATATTTGATCCTTCACCTGTCATTACAGATTCATTCTCTCATCTCATAAAGCCCTTTCTGCTTGGCAGTCACTTTACTTTTACATCTTGTTAGTTCTTATCACGTTCCTCACCGCAGCTGTTCTAAACTATCTCTACATTTTAGAAGCCTTCAGTCCTACCCCTGCCTTCATCACTCTAACTGCATTAACCTTGCCTTGAGTTGACTGCCAGGATTGAGACCTCCCTGCTGTGAGCTTGCTCCCTTTCCAGCTGTCAGCAGACCACCTTGCATCTCAGAATTGCTCTCTAACTCTTCCCAAGCTTTTGCTTCTTCCCGGTTCTTGGAAGGCAAGGGGTACTCTCCCCTTTTCCTCCAGGATTCCTTTTTGTCAGTTATCTCCACTACTCTACCTTCCTTAACGTCTCTTTTCCAGCTTCTTTCCCTCTACTTATAAACATGTTCAAATATCCTAATTTTTTCCACTTCTTTGAACCACCACATTTTTTTCTCATTTTCCTTTCATCTTCGAGCTTTTTCAAAAATAGTTAATAGATGCTTATGGTAAAAGGAAAATAAATAAGCACCATCTCTATTAAATTCCTTCAGAGTAGTCAACATTGATTATCCTACACTTTCTTGCTGCCAACACTTTAACCTCTTACAATTTAACCTGCTTTTTCACCTGTTGAAGGTTGAATTGACTTCTTAATTTCTCAATTTTAAAGCTTTTTTTTTTTTAGCTTTTTAAATATTTATTTATTTGTTTTATTTTGGCCGTGTTGGGTCTTCGTTTGTGTGCGAGGGCTTTCTCTAGTTGCGGCGAGCGGGGGCCACTCTTCATCGCGGTGCACGGGCCTCTCACTGTTGTGGCCTCTCTTGTTGCAGAGCACAAGCTCCAGACGCGCAGGCTCAGTAGTTGTGGCCCACGGGCCTAGTTGCTCTGCGGCATGTGGGATCTTCCCAGACCAGGGCACGAATCCGTGTCCCTGCATTGGCAGACAGATTCTCAACCACTGCGCCAGCAGGGAAGCCCTAAAGCATTTTTTGACCTGCCCCCATCTCCTCCGATGTCAGTAAAGCGTCTGGCACTCATGGCCTGCTTTAGTTGGCACTGCCTACCCTCTTTCTGTGTCATCTCTTTAACCACTTGTCATCTGATTTTCCCTGTCCCCTTGAGACTAGGATGCTCCGTGGTTCTGTTCATGACTGCTTTCTCTTTGCTATATGCAGTTTATACCTTGGAGATTTCAGCCAACCCCGTAGCATGCATACCAGCTATTAAATGACTCCCAGCTAAATTGGCAAACAATTCTTGAGCAAAAGGCACTATGCTAAGTACTGCACATTCAAAGACGATCAAGGCATAGGCCAATCTCTCAGAAAGCTTACTGGCTACTAGAGGAGGGAGAGGTGTACCCAAATCATTATATCTGGCAGCATTGTGTATTAGAAAGAGCACTGGATTTAACCAAAAGATAGGAATTTGAATCCCAACGCCACCTCTTACCAGCTGGGTACCCTGGGTGTGAATTGCATAACTTCACTGAGCCTGTGTCTTCTCATATTGCCTACCTCCCAAGGTGCTGTGAAGAATAAATGAGCGGTGGTTTCTAAAGCTCCTAGCCCCTGCCCTGATATCTCTCCTGAGCTGCATTTCCCTCTACTAGTTTAAACATCTCTCCTAGTTTGTCAGATACGCACCTCAAACATACGAAGTCTAAATTGTTCTCACTCGGGTCCTTGTTTTTATTTACCCTTTTCTGCTTGTTGTACCACCGTGCAGTCCTGCATTCGGATCCAAGAGCTGAGTCAGTGGTTGTTGACTCTAACTTTTCCTTACCAAACTATATAATACCTTCAGCAGCCAAGTCCTCGTCTCTTTTTGCTTTACTTCATCACTTGTGTCGTTTCCATTCCCACTGCCATAAGCCCTGCCCGGCTCTCTCAGATCATACGTAGAATATCATGCCATCCTAAGTGACTCCTTCTTTACTTTGCAGCCTATTCGGTACACTCAGGAAGTACCACTCCAGTTCTTTAACTCCTTTCATCAGAAACCTTCAGTAACTCCTACATTGCCTAGCAGAAAAAGTCTATCCCCTTGGTTAGTAATTAAGGCCTCCCACCATCTACTTCAGCCTGACTTTCTAGCCATATCTCTCACTATACTCTAACAGAAACGCTGCGTTCTCATCAGGCTCAGTTACTCACCATTCCCTGATAGCATGCTGTTAACATTTCCTCTCTATTGCTCCTTCCTTTTCACCTATTGAAATCTTCCCCATCTTTCAGAGCTACCTCAGATGTAACCAGACCTTTGATGGATCAAGGTGGACCTACTTAGTGTAAACATCACTGGCGTCTTTGAGCTAGCCATTACCTTCCTTCCAACGTCCTCTGCCACTTAACACCCTTCTATTCCTGTGCTCTAATAAATTACTGGCATTCCCCAGACCTACCATAATCTTTCATAATTCCATTCAGTAAGTGTGGAATGATGCTGCCTTTCTTGATTTCTCCAAGTAGAAGTCACCTTTTTCTTTAGAACTGTGGTTAGAGTAGGACTTAGCTTGTCGTGTAGGAAACTTAGCAGGTACTGGTTTCTGTTATGTGAAGTACCTACCTTCCTTCTCTTCTTGAAGGAAGAGACTATGTCCTGTGTAACGTGGTGCTCTGCAGTATGGTACGAACATTTTTTTTTTTTTAAACATAATTCCTCCGTCATTTTGTTTATTTATTTATTTATGGCTGTGTTGGGTCTTTGTTTCTGTGCGAGGGCTTTCTCTAATTGCGGCGAGCGGGGGCCACTCTTCATCGTGGTGCGCGGGCCTCTCACTATCGCGGCCTCTCCCGTTGCGGAGCACAGGCTCCGGACGTGCAGGTTCAGTAGTTGTGGCTCACGGGCCCAGTTGCTCTGCGGCATGTGGGATCCTCCCAGACCAGGGCTCAAACCTGTGTCCCCTGCATTGGCAGGCAGACTCTCAACCACTGCGCCACCAGGGAAGCCCCGGTACGAACATTTAAGTAGTAAAATATTTGATTGAAATACTCTTGTGAATTACACTAGGAGCCCAGTGTAGCAGAATGCCAGCCTTTCTGCTCCCTGTGACCCACTGCCTCCCTGTGGTGACCCTTCCTCACTCCAGGTCCTTCAGTGTTCTTCTTCCTCTTGTCTTTTCATTTTGGTTAACTTCTTCTGGGCCGTCTCTTCACCATCTTCCATCTGGCTGTTGAGGTGACTACTAAATTGCCCACTAATACAGACCTGGATGTTAAATTATGAATGTCGTTCAGGTCAAAAGTTAAGATTACCTAGGATTATGACAATTTGTACCTTGTTTATTCCCAGGCTTCAGTTTTGGACTACTTTTTGGTTCTAAACTTGCTCGTGGGATTATTAGTCTTTTTTGATTTTCAACATTCCTGATTCTTCTAGAAAATGTTTTGGGGTTAATCTAAAAACTTGTAGATTTTCCCCCTATAACTTATATAAATTAGCCTTATTTTTAATTTTTTAATCTTATTTTTCCATTTAAGTAAAAAATCAAAGAAATCTTGATGATGAAAATTATTTTTCTTTCAACAGTGACATTGTGAGGAAGATCGATCAGTCTGAATTTGAAGGTTTTGAGTACATTAATCCTCTTTTGATGTCTGCAGAAGAATGTGTCTGATCCTCCTTTCTCAACTATGCATTTTGCTTGTGTTGCCATTTAGTGCATGGATAAACTTGTTACCAGCCTGGATGCAAAGAACCATTTTATATTTTTCACCTGCAAGAAAAGCACTCAGTATATTCTATTGTTGACTGTAAGAGTCAATTATTACATCTAAGTTTAACTATGGAAAAAAAATGAAACTACTTTGCAGACAATCATGTCAAAATTTAGTTACACTGGTAATCCAGCAACCTACTGATGAATAACAAAGTTGTCTTTTTTGTTTAAAGGAAGTACTGACTAAAAAGATTATCTGTTGCATTAAGGCACATGGTGGGATTACATCATAAGCCTCCCCTGATTTTTGTCATACTCATGAAGTCATTTAAGTGTTTAATTTTGGAATAAAAGAGTAATGCAAAATACAACTTGTTATATTACCTATTACTTTCTGAGTTCTATGTGTTTAAAAATTCAGCTGTAAATTTTATCATTGCTTTAGCAAATTAAATTATTGATTTTTAAGGCAACAATTATAAATTGGTAATAAAAGACGTTGCTTGCTTAGAATGAGGGAATACAGATTCTCCTTGAGGAGGAAAATAGGCACATTTTATTAAGAATCAGATTCCAAATCATTAGCTGTTTTTGAAAAACTGATTCAAGTGATTTCTTTAGTATGTTACGGGGTTAGTGTCTGAGCTTGTCCCTGTAGTGGGAACTTTAACTGGAGTGTTAATAAATGTAGTTCAAAGAACCCAGGATGCAGTTAAATGGAACACTTCTCAGTATATAAAAAGGAAAAAATAGAAACTTAAAATAGATACAGAAAAGTGCAATGGTAATATTTATTTCTTATTGGACAGTAAATCTCACAGTCGCTTTTTGTGATTTGACTTAAATAATAAGGAAGCACTCACTTGCTACCAAATGTAAAAGCATTCCATTATCCAGTGGACACAGACTGTATATTATTTTTTCCTTATAAGTCAGTATACAGGAAAATAATTTATCTTCCAAATAGTGTCTGAACCATGCTTGTTTCTTCCCCAAACCACATTATCCATACTTTCGGATCCTTTTTGTGGAGTCTTCAATGAAACTCAAGAAAAAATAATAAAGTAAACATGAATAAATCTTCAGGATATGCATGTACACTCACACTCATCACAGTTCCAGCTCCATAAGTGAGTTTTTGTTAAGTAGGTAACACATGTAATCAGAGTAGAATACATTTCAGGGGCAGAGTTCTTCAGATTATTTTTTATTAATATTAGTGTTTAACAATTTATTATTTAAAGGGATGCCAATGATAGCATCCTTCTGTTGTTTATTTTTAATTTTTTTTTATGAAAAGGGACTTAAAAAATAACCATGATCATTTAAATTACTTATAATTGTCCAATCTTAGTAAAATGTAACTTTTAGGAAAGCTATCTAGTCTTAAATTTAGAATGATTTAAAATATGTAGGCATTTATTAAATTACCTCTTTTTGGGGGGCACGGGGATGCTGCATTTCATTTGAAATGTAATTTTTCCAAAGTTTCTGGCCATGTACTCTCTTTTCTTTGAATAGCTATGTCTGAAAGCAATGAAAACCTCCAAGGAAATGTTTATATAATTTACATGTTTATTTAAGAGGTATGTATGTTTCTCTTAAGACCTGAAACTTGTTTGAAAACAAAAAGCAATATTCACTTCAAATCATAAATTTATAGAAATTTTTGACATATCAGAAATATGTTTATCATCTTGCTTTTAAGTGGTACTGTTTCCCTTAGGGCATTCGTTCTCAAGTTTTAGAATGTGGACTAATCACGTAGTAAGTGTGTTTAATATGCACATTACTGGGCCTGCCTTGGAATTCTGTTGGGTCTTTGGATCTCATTTTGAGAAACTTTTTTTTTTTTTTTTTTTTGCGGTACGCGGGCCTCTCACTGCTGTGGCCTCTCCCGTTGCGGAGCACAGGCTCCGGACGCGCAGGCTCAGCGGCCATGGCTCACCGGCCCAGCCACTCCGCGGCGGACAGGGGCACGAACCCGTGTCCCCTGCATCAGCAGGTGGACTCTCAACCGCTGCGCCACCAGGGAAGCCTGAGAAACATTTTTTTGAGTTTTTCTTTCAGTTTGTCCTTAGTTACATATTAGAGTATTCATGATAAAACATTTTGAGAAGGGGTGCACAGTTACTATCTTATCTACAATTTTAAATAAGTTTTGAGTAAATGACTTCTTCAAGTTAGATATCTTCTAAAAAAAAAAATCCATCAGTTTTCTATCAATGTTACAAATGATGAAACATTTTTCTGTGATGAGGTTTTAACCATTATTCAGGGTGGCCTTTTTTTAAATATTTTTTTTAAAAAAAACTAATAAGATTTACTGTGTATATTTTATACAGAACTGAATTACAAATATGTTTTAAATTGTATTCTGCTTTTTGTAGTCCTTATGTGCCATGCCAATTCTTTTTATATTACATAGAAGTTGTTTCAGATTACTCACCAGGGGACTAAGGCAGTTGACAGAATGGTTGGAATTTTGGTGTTCTAAGAAAAAATTTATTTTGTATAAGCATGTATGTGGTCAGATCATTCTATGTGTATGAAGCCTGAAATGCATATCAGGTATTATGCTTGTTTGGTACCTGTACATTTACTTTTAAAATTTTGTTTTGTTTTGATTTTTGTCATGTAGAATACTGCCTTGGTATAATGTGATCTGTATTTGTGTACCTTTTTTTTTTACTTTCAAATCTTTAAATAAAATGTTTAATACTCATCAAGATTGGAACATGTTTAATATGTAGCATACCAGAGTTTTGTGAAAGAACAAAGGCATATCAAAATTTGTTCAAGAAGAAAAATGAAAATATTAGAGTTTGGAATTTTGCTGTACTTAAAGCAACATTAGTAGTTCTGATGCCATATTGTAGACATCTACTCATAAAATATTGTTCAGTGTATTTTTTTTTTTTTTTGCGGTACGCGGGCCTCTCACTGTTGTGGCCTCTCCCGTTGCGGAGCACAGGCTCCGGACACGCAGGCTCAGCGGCCATGGCTCACGGACCCAGCCACTCCGCGGCATGTGGGATCTTCCCGGACCGGGGCACGAACCTGGGTCCCCTGCATCGGCAGGCGGACCCCCAACCACTGCACCACCAGGGAAGCCCTGTTCAGTGTATTTTTAAACTCACCCCTCTATATCTCTTATGTTGGAAAACAAATTAGTAAAAAATCAGCTGAAGAGAGAGCATTTTAACTAGTTTTAAAACTGAACCAAATTTAAACAGATGCAGAACAGTATGTTCTACAGTGATGTATTCTAGAGTTCCAGAACTTCTCCTTTCTCAATTGTAGCTAGTGTCCATATATAAACAGGCATGAGCCTGGTATCCCACACTTACAAACCTCTTTACCATTACTTAAGCCTTTCCTTTCCTTTCCAAGGAGAATGACATCTTAAGTGCTTTTACTTTTTTCTTAATTGCCTCGTCAGAGAGCTAGAGCCTGTATATTAAAACCACCAAAGACTGATCTCCTGTGTCTTCTCTATTATTTTATCCTAATATCCCCTGTACCAAATCATAAATTTGGTGGTTTTCTTTGTGTTAGTAAAATCCCAAAACAGAATCCAAAGAGGAGTTTGAAGCTTTAGGGAAATTTTGCATTCAATAGGGCAACCAGTTTCTCCCTGAGAGAGAAAGTCAATCTCCAGTCTTTAAAATCCAACAGGTTGGTTTCTGGATAACACCTAACAGCAAGTCATTTGGTATATATGATGGTCTTCCTTCATGGATTTACCCTCCTATCCACTAGGACTTAAGGAATCAGTTAAGACCCAGATAGTCTGAGTAGTTTGTATCCAAAGTTTATTGTCCCAGAATGTTCATGGTGCTAAATAAGGCTAATAAAAAGACAGAATCTCTGCCCTTGATATTCAAGATAGAGAACAGACATACTCAGAAAGATGATTGTCTCCACAGGAAATAGTCCAGTGATAAGAGCCAAATAAATGCAGAAAAATATACATTATGTGGCCATGTTAGGTTACAGGTTTACCAGTGAAACTTGTATGAATTTTACTTGATATTCATATATAATTGATCCATGCTATACGTTTTTTTAGATTTATGGTAGATTGCAAAAAGCTTTAAGAATTCATATATACATAATAAAATCTTAGATATTTCTATATATACACACACGCACACACACAGTATATACTATACTAGATATACTATATATAAGATTAATATATAAGATTGTTTTTGGCTTTTCTGCTCAGAAATATGAATTGGAATTTACATGGACATGGGAGAGAAAATTATCAGATGCTCCTGCTTAGATTAGATTTTGTACAATTCATCTCTGAAATTTATAATTAAGAGGAACCCAGCTCAGAATTTGAGAGTGATTTTTGGCTTGAAATGTGGCAGTGCAGTTCACCTTTATGTAGCAATTTGTGCCTTACTGGCATGAACACTGTATTTTTACTCCAATTACTATTTTTAACATTTTTACTGAAGAAAATGGAATTACAGTTCTTCTAAGGATTAAGTGGCTGTTTCATGTGATCTTTTACAGGCTATCGGAAAGTTCAACTCCATGCCAGATGTGTTCACTAGACTTGAGAGAGCTTTAGCTCAAGTTTTTATTGACAGTTAACAGGTCAGAAACAAATTCTCATTGTGTAAGAAAGGACCCTTTGCTGGTAGAGGCGGGGCTCTTTTACCAGGAAAATTTTTTTCAAGCAAAATTTTTTTCTAAGGTAAATTTCTAAGTAAAATTTTCTAGAAGTAGTGCCACGTAACCAGATTTAAACCTTCCATGATGTAAACTGTCTGCAACGTGGGTGGTTATACTTCGTGACTTTTTACGTTATTCATAGTATATTTATTATGAAGTAAGTGAAAATTTTTTTCTAAGGTAAATTTCTAAGTAAAATTTTTTTCTAGGCACTCTTGATTTTTATTTAAAAGTTAGATTTTTAAATTTAAAGATCATGAAAGTATGTGTACTTGTGCATCATTTGAAAGTTTACTCAATTTGAAACAATATTTTAATGAAGAAATTTGAATCTATGTTGATGAGGATACTTTGCTACATTATTCTTTAAGTTTAAATTTTTATTTCATACGTTTATTGAAGGCTATGTAATGTGTCCAGTACTATGCTGATCCTACAGGATTTGGAAAAGTTTTATTGTAAGGAATTTTTTTATGATACAAGGAATAAATTCATTCCAGAAAAGTTGGCTTAGGTTTAAAAGAAAAAAAGTCGGTGTGTGTGTTATCCTTTGAGGTCGGGGATATTTCCGATGATTAAAATAAAAATTAACATTCTCCCCCAAGTAGTGAGGTCTGAAAAATGTGGAAATGGGAGATAGCAGCGTATATGGTTCTGTCTCAGAATGGTGATTCCATCCACTTCATCACCACCAGGGGCCAGTCTCTTGCTGTAATGAAGGTCAGACTTACCAGCACTTTCGCCCTCTGGAGAAGGCAGTATATTCTCTACAAGCCGGTTACCAAGAGGTTCCAGGATTTCATCAGTGCCTATCATGTGTGTTTTGAATTTACAGTTATCTGGGAGTCTGGCAAATT